GAGGGATCTTTCTCAAATTTTAAATGTAGGTTCCCCTTGATCCCTCGTTGTGTATGTTATATTTTGAGACTGATCATAAAAACAAAATGGAATAAAAGAAGAACTAAACAGATCTTTCTCATATTGCAATGATCGATTCTATTTCTTTCACATTAAGTACTGTACTAGTAAATATGTGAAATGACAAACTCACTTTGAAGGTTGGCTTTCATACACATCAGTATTAAGTTTAGATCAAAAGTTGCCTCAAGGTGCATTTACTGTTAACATGACTCGATCAAACAGATGAGAGGAAAGAAGAGAAAAGATCGAACTGTCAAAGAACTAATGAAGATGGTACAAAGGTGGGCGCCAAAATCCCTCTGGGATCTCTTGTTTTAAATACCAACAAAGTTACACACTGATAGAAACCAACAACATAAACATTACAAACAACACTTTTACACAAGTGTCAACCATCTCCCTAGGTAGAACTAGATAAGTGTTTAAGGCAGAAAGTATCCTTGTTAATCTCTAAATTTCCATTGATAAAGAAAAACTATTTTGTCCGCAAATCCTGGATTGGTTCGTGTATTACTGATGACTGTGGGGATTCATGCTTGAATTCTACACATGCAGCTCTGTGTCTAATTTCTTTGCTAACATAATCTTTTGGAATGGATTTGGTTTGGAAAAGAAGAGAATTAGAAACTTTATATGAATCAATTCCAAATTGTGTTTTATTAGCTCACCTTGCCCGAAGGGCCATGTGAGCTTATGCCGTACGGTGGCGTCCGGCAACCTTGACCTACTTTCAAGGTCACAGGGGTCAAATATGTTAAAAACTTCAAACAACAATATCCTAAGAACCATTTGGACTAGTCATGATACTTAGGTTTGTTATGTAGACCAGCTGTGTGAATTGTTTTCTTCATTACAGTAATGAGGTCAAAGGTCAACTTTAAGTGCAAATCGGGATTCAAATGTCAACTTTGGTTAAAAGCTTTAAAATTAAAATTTTAAGTTTCAAACAACAATATCTTCAGAACCGTCAGAACCGTTTAAGAGATGTTAAAATGTCTTGTGTTCTAGTTACCAAATGGTCTTAAGTTACCTATATGTCAGTTGCATGTAACAAAAGAAACAGGTGAGCGATACAGGCCTCTTTTTTTGTTTGAAATAAATCCAGGACATTTAATTTGAATAATTGTTGCATTTCTCTCACCCATTTGGCATGTATACTTGCATACAGATAAACATTTTGTGAGAGTTCTGCTTAAATTTTCAATTTAATGATTGTAATGCTGTTTGCAGGCGGATTTGCTATTGTGTTCCTGGTGAAGGCTCAGAATGGTAACCACTATGCCCTGAAGCGTCTGTTTGTAAACAATGACCAGGACCTGACTGTGTGTAAGAGAGAAATACACATAGCGGTGAGTTGTGTCAGCTATATACATAGCCTACTGATCATATCACATGGCAGTCATTGAAGCCAGGCTTTAGCACTAAGATTTAGTCAAAATAGTCTGTTATGGAAATGTTATCTTGGTTATCCTTTCGTTTTGATAATATGGAAAATATTATATAACATACATTTTTAGGTCACCTGAGCTTTAGCTCAAGTGACCTATTGCTATCCGTTTTCGTNTGATTTCCCGTTAAATACCATATATATTTCACGAGTTTGACAGAATACCAATATTTCCATTAATGTGAAATTCCATCTTATAGGATGAATATAGGCTACCCAGTAAAATTTATCTTATTGTGTAAATATAGACGAAGTTAAATCTTCATCACCATTCATGTAGGTAAGGGATTAGGCCTTACAGTTGTATTTCATCTAGTAAGGTGAATACTTAGATACCAGGGTACTTCTATACTTTTTGTGAATAAGAAGCATGAGGAAAGAAAAAGGAAAATAATTCATCCCTCTGGTAAAAGTATAATAGATGATCATGAAGAATCAAGTATCCTATTTCATTTGCTATGCCATGCCTTTAACACAAAATATGAGGATTTGTTCCTGTTTTTCATAGTAAATGCATCTGTCTGTTTTTAATTCACATACACCATAAAAACTTAGACTTCACACTTCACAGATAAAAAATGTAATAATTGATATCCTTTGAGATTTGCACTTTGACATGCTTACATGTTTATTCTTTGCAGAAAACATTATCGGGCCATAAGAATATCATTAAGTATGTAGATTCCAGTATTACAGTAACAACCAATCGGGTGTACGAGGTGATGATTTTAATGCAATATTGTAGAGGTGAGTTTAGTTGACTGATCACATTATACACTTATTGCCCTGGTGTGAGGGAGACCTGAAGGGTTGTTTCCCCGAGATAAATCATGTTTCCCGAGGGCGAAGCCCAAGGGAAACATGATTTGTCGATGGGGAACAACTCTTCAGGTCTCTCTCACACCAGGGCAATAACTGTGACTGACCTGTTCGCCTTTATTTCATTAGGTCAGGTAGCATATATATACTACAAATACCTATCATTGTACAATGTCAGTGTTTTGATTTTACATCAAATGAAACAACAATAATAGCCCTTCAATGTCTTCAGCTTTTGGGAGGTGGAATCTCACGTTCGCAGCCATTGTTGATGTTTGTGATGTCGTCCGCAACACATCGGGCGTTAGAGAGTATAACAAAGAGAGACAACTCGTCCGATAATGTATGAGGGGTTCCAAGAGGGATACTCGACAGGGAAAATGGATCGCGTGAGGGAGGAGCGATGTTTTATAATCCTGTCATGTGATGTGTTTAAACCAATCAGACATGCTGTAAAATCGATGAGGAATAATAATCATGTTTGAATTTTTTTATTTTTTTACACTGACTAGGACATCACATTACAAAGACCTGTAGTACAATATGATTTTGAGAAAAAGTTGACAATTTCTGGAAAGATCATGTGTTGAAATAGGTTGACACATACAGCCTCTCATAAATAGACTAGATTTTATGTTTAGCACATTTAATTGATGTTCATATAGAGGCAGCAATGCCTGCATCCACGATATCTCATTAAATCCTATTCAAAATCTATCCTTGGCTTAATTTCGTGCATTGAAACCTGTTTTTAAGAGAGCTAAAAAGGTAGAAAATAAAAGATAAAGATAAATTATATGGACACCTAGACAATATGGGATTGTCTGAACATTGAAATCTTTTGTAACCGAGGACATTGTATTGTATGTAATTGTCTCATCCTGAAATATGACCATGAACCTCTCTGTAGAATTCAGAAAATAAAGTGGTTATTTATTTTGATTTTAATGCATACACCATGTGTGGATAAACTTTTCTGTGTTCTATGTAATACATGAAATGATCATTATAAAGTCCAATATCAGCATTAGGATGTACATGAAGACCCAATCTCTCCCTGTTGAGTAGTTTTTTGTTGTTGTTTTGCTTTTCTTAATTATTGATGTTGGAAAATGCTGAAATAAAATTTAGGATTAAATGTTCAACTAATTAACAAGGTTCCACTATAGTGTGTGGCGTTACTTTATGAATGATTAACAAGGTTCCACTTTAGTGTGTGGCGTTACTTTATGAATGATTAACAAGGTTCCACTTTAGTGTGTGGCGTTACTTTATGAATGATTAACAAGGTTCCACTTTAGTGTGTGGCGTTACTTTATGAATGATTAACAAGGTTCCACTTTAGTGTGTGGCGTTACTTTATGAATGATTAACAAGGTTCCACTTTAGTGTGTGGCGTTACTTTATGAATGATTAACAAGGTTCCACTTTAGTGTGTGGCGTTACTTTATGAATGATTAACAAGGTTCCACTTTAGTGTGTGGCGTTACTTTATGAATGATTAACAAGGTTCCACTTTAGTGTGTGGCGTTACTTTATGAATGATTAACAAGGTTCCACTTTAGTGTGTGGCGTTACTTTATGAATGATTAACAAGGTTCCACTATAGTGTGTGGCGGTACTTTATGAATGATTAACAAGGTTCCACTTTAGTGTATGGCGTTACTTTATGAATGATTAACAAGGTTCCACTTTAGTGTGTGTCGTTACTTTATGAATGATCAACAAGGTTCCACTGTGGCGTTATTTTATGAATGATTAACAAGGTGCCACTTTAGTGTGTGGCGTTACTTTATGAATGATCAACAAGGTTCCACTGTGGCGTTATTTTATGAATGATTAACAAGGTGCCACTTTAGTGTGTGGCAGTACTTTATGAATGATTAACAAGGTTCCACTTTAGTGTGTGACGTTACTTTATGAATGATTAACAAGGTTCCACTTTAGTGTGTGGCGTTACTTTATGAATGATCAACAAGGTTCCACTATAGTGTGTGGCTTTACTTTATGAATGATCAACAAGGTTCCACTTTAGTGTGTGGCGGTACTTTATGAATGATTAACAATGTTCCACTTTAGTGTGTGCCGTTACTTTATGAATGATCAACAAGTTTCCACTATAGTGTGTGGCTGTACTTTATGAATGATTAATAAGCTTCCACTTTAGTGTGTGCCGTTACTTTATGAATGATCAACAGGGTTCGACTGTGGCGTTACTTTATGAATGATTAACAAGGTTCCACTTTAGTGTGTGGCGTTACTTAATGAATGATCAACAAGGTTCCACTGTGACTTTACTATATGAATGATGAACAAGGTTCCAATTTAGTGTGTGACGTTACTTTATGAATGATAAACTTACAGATTTCATATCATCTTTGTAGGTCATGTTATACAATTAATGAATGACAGATTGAATGTTGGATTTTCGGAAAAAGAAGTTTTGCGGATATTCTGTGATGTGTGTGAAGCAGTAGCCAGACTGCACCACTGTCAGACTCCCATAATACACAGAGATTTAAAGGTATGTATACTGGACCAGGTAGGTCACTGTCAGACTCCCATAATACACAGAGATTTAAAGGTATGTATACTGGACCAGGTAGGTCACTGTCAGACTCCCATAATACACAGAGATTTAAAGGTATGTATACTGGACCAGGTAGGTCACTGTCAGACTCCCATAATACACAGAGATTTAAAGGTATGTATACTGGACCAGGTAGGTCACTGTCAGACTCCCATAATACACAGAGATTTAAAGGTATGTATACTGGACCAGGTAGGTCACTGTCAGACTCCCATAATACACAGAGATTTAAAGGTATGTATACTGGACCAGGTAGGTCACTGTCAGACTCCCATAATACACAGAGATTTAAAGGTATGTATACTGGACCAGGTAGGTCACTGTCAGACTCCCATAATACACAGAGATTTAAAGGTATGTATACTGGACCAGGTAGGTCACTGTCAGACTCCCATAATACACAGAGATTTAAAGGTATGTATACTGGACCAGGTAGGTCACTGTCAGACTCCCATAATACACAGAGATTTAAAGGTATGTATACTGGACCAGGTAGGTCACTGTCAGACTCCCATAATACACAGAGATTTAAAGGTATGTATACTGGACCAGGTAGGTCACTGTCAGACTCCCATAATACACAGAGATTTAAAGGTATGTATACTGGACCAGGTAGGTCACTGTCAGACTCCCATAATACACAGAGATTTAAAGGTATGTATACTGGACCAGGTAGGTCACTGTCAGACTCCCATAATACACAGAGATTTAAAGGTATGTATACTGGACCAGGTAGGTCACTGTCAGACTCCCATAATACACAGAGATTTAAAGGTATGTATACTGGACCAGGTAGGTCACTGTCAGACTCCCATAATACACAGAGATTTAAAGGTATGTATACTGGACCAGGTAGGTCACTGTCAGACTCCCATAATACACAGAGATTTAAAGGTATGTATACTGGACCAGGTAGGTCACTGTCAGACTCCCATAATACACAGAGATTTAAAGGTATGTATACTGGACCAGGTAGGTCACTGTCAGACTCCCATAATACACAGAGATTTAAAGGTATGTATACTGGACCAGGTAGGTCACTGTCAGACTCCCATAATACACAGAGATTTAAAGGTATGTATACTGGACCAGGTAGGTCACTGTCAGACTCCCATAATACACAGAGATTTAAAGGTATGTATACTGGACCAGGTAGGTCACTGTCAGACTCCCATAATACACAGAGATTTAAAGGTATGTATACTGGACCAGGTAGGTCACTGTCAGACTCCCATAATACACAGAGATTTAAAGGTATGTATACTGGACCAGGTAGGTCACTGTCAGACTCCCATAATACACAGAGATTTAAAGGTATGTATACTGGACCAGGTAGGTCACTGTCAGACTCCCATAATACACAGAGATTTAAAGGTATGTATACTGGACCAGGTAGGTCACTGTCAGACTCCCATAATACACAGAGATTTAAAGGTATGTATACTGGACCAGGTAGGTCACTGTCAGACTCCCATAATACACAGAGATTTAAAGGTATGTATACTGGACCAGGTAGGTCACTGTCAGACTCCCATAATACACAGAGATTTAAAGGTATGTATACTGGACCAGGTAGGTCACTGTCAGACTCCCATAATACACAGAGATTTAAAGGTATGTATACTGGACCAGGTAGGTCACTGTCAGACTCCCATAATACACAGAGATTTAAAGGTATGTATACTGGACCAGGTAGGTCACTGTCAGACTCCCATAATACACAGAGATTTAAAGGTATGTATACTGGACCAGGTAGGTCACTGTCAGACTCCCATAATACACAGAGATTTAAAGGTATGTATACTGGACCAGGTAGGTCACTGTCAGACTCCCATAATACACAGAGATTTAAAGGTATGTATACTGGACCAGGTAGGTCACTGTCAGACTCCCATAATACACAGAGATTTAAAGGTATGTATACTGGACCAGGTAGGTCACTGTCAGACTCCCATAATACACAGAGATTTAAAGGTATGTATACTGGACCAGGTAGGTCACTGTCAGACTCCCATAATACACAGAGATTTAAAGGTATGTATACTGGACCAGGTAGGTCACTGTCAGACTCCCATAATACACAGAGATTTAAAGGTATGTATACTGGACCAGGTAGGTCACTGTCAGACTCCCATAATACACAGAGATTTAAAGGTATGTATACTGGACCAGGTAGGTCACTGTCAGACTCCCATAATACACAGAGATTTAAAGGTATGTATACTGGACCAGGTAGGTCACTGTCAGACTCCCATAATACACAGAGATTTAAAGGTATGTATACTGGACCAGGTAGGTCACTGTCAGACTCCCATAATACACAGAGATTTAAAGGTATGTATACTGGACCAGGTAGGTCACTGTCAGACTCCCATAATACACAGAGATTTAAAGGTATGTATACTGGACCAGGTAGGTCACTGTCAGACTCCCATAATACACAGAGATTTAAAGGTATGTATACTGGACCAGGTAGGTCACTGTCAGACTCCCATAATACACAGAGATTTAAAGGTATGTATACTGGACCAGGTAGGTCACTGTCAGACTCCCATAATACACAGAGATTTAAAGGTATGTATACTGGACCAGGTAGGTCACTGTCAGACTCCCATAATACACAGAGATTTAAAGGTATGTATACTGGACCAGGTAGGTCACTGTCAGACTCCCATAATACACAGAGATTTAAAGGTATGTATACTGGACCAGGTAGGTCACTGTCAGACTCCCATAATACACAGAGATTTAAAGGTATGTATACTGGACCAGGTAGGTCACTGTCAGACTCCCATAATACACAGAGATTTAAAGGTATGTATACTGGACCAGGTAGGTCACTGTCAGACTCCCATAATACACAGAGATTTAAAGGTATGTATACTGGACCAGGTAGGTCACTGTCAGACTCCCATAATACACAGAGATTTAAAGGTATGTATACTGGACCAGGTAGGTCACTGTCAGACTCCCATAATACACAGAGATTTAAAGGTATGTATACTGGACCAGGTAGGTCACTGTCAGACTCCCATAATACACAGAGATTTAAAGGTATGTATACTGGACCAGGTAGGTCACTGTCAGACTCCCATAATACACAGAGATTTAAAGGTATGTATACTGGACCAGGTAGGTCACTGTCAGACTCCCATAATACACAGAGATTTAAAGGTATGTATACTGGACCAGGTAGGTCACTGTCAGACTCCCATAATACACAGAGATTTAAAGGTATGTATACTGGACCAGGTAGGTCACTGTCAGACTCCCATAATACACAGAGATTTAAAGGTATGTATACTGGACCAGGTAGGTCACTGTCAGACTCCCATAATACACAGAGATTTAAAGGTATGTATACTGGACCAGGTAGGTCACTGTCAGACTCCCATAATACACAGAGATTTAAAGGTATGTATACTGGACCAGGTAGGTCACTGTCAGACTCCCATAATACACAGAGATTTAAAGGTATGTATACTGGACCAGGTAGGTCACTGTCAGACTCCCATAATACACAGAGATTTAAAGGTATGTATACTGGACCAGGTAGGTCACTGTCAGACTCCCATAATACACAGAGATTTAAAGGTATGTATACTGGACCAGGTAGGTCACTGTCAGACTCCCATAATACACAGAGATTTAAAGGTATGTATACTGGACCAGGTAGGTCACTGTCAGACTCCCATAATACACAGAGATTTAAAGGTATGTATACTGGACCAGGTAGGTCACTGTCAGACTCCCATAATACACAGAGATTTAAAGGTATGTATACTGGACCAGGTAGGTCACTGTCAGACTCCCATAATACACAGAGATTTAAAGGTATGTATACTGGACCAGGTAGGTCACTGTCAGACTCCCATAATACACAGAGATTTAAAGGTATGTATACTGGACCAGGTAGGTCACTGTCAGACTCCCATAATACACAGAGATTTAAAGGTATGTATACTGGACCAGGTAGGTCACTGTCAGACTCCCATAATACACAGAGATTTAAAGGTATGTATACTGGACCAGGTAGGTCACTGTCAGACTCCCATAATACACAGAGATTTAAAGGTATGTATACTGGACCAGGTAGGTCACTGTCAGACTCCCATAATACACAGAGATTTAAAGGTATGTATACTGGACCAGGTAGGTCACTGTCAGACTCCCATAATACACAGAGATTTAAAGGTATGTATACTGGACCAGGTAGGTCACTGTCAGACTCCCATAATACACAGAGATTTAAAGGTATGTATACTGGACCAGGTAGGTCACTGTCAGACTCCCATAATACACAGAGATTTAAAGGTATGTATACTGGACCAGGTAGGTCACTGTCAGACTCCCATAATACACAGAGATTTAAAGGTATGTATACTGGACCAGGTAGGTCACTGTCAGACTCCCATAATACACAGAGATTTAAAGGTATGTATACTGGACCAGGTAGGTCACTGTCAGACTCCCATAATACACAGAGATTTAAAGGTATGTATACTGGACCAGGTAGGTCACTGTCAGACTCCCATAATACACAGAGATTTAAAGGTATGTATACTGGACCAGGTAGGTCACTGTCAGACTCCCATAATACACAGAGATTTAAAGGTATGTATACTGGACCAGGTAGGTCACTGTCAGACTCCCATAATACACAGAGATTTAAAGGTATGTATACTGGACCAGGTAGGTCACTGTCAGACTCCCATAATACACAGAGATTTAAAGGTANAGTACTTGAAAATTATAGAACAATCTGGAACAATTTTAGGTATAACAGTAAGAAGAGTCCAAGCGCCGGTTATTGTTTTGGCTAGTAAAAAAGGACGTTAGTGTCTCAAATATTGGACAAGCCTACCAGATCATTTGATGAGGTGAACTGTGACCTTGCTACTGACAATTACGCAAGAAGTTGAAGAACAAATCTTGCTGCAATCTCATGTCTTAGTTTATTATTGTTATTTTCATAGTGCAGGCGCGTAGCTTTCTAGCTATATGCTTCACATAATTTTGATGAGTAAAAACATATTTAATATACGTGTATTTCAAACCTTTCTTGCGCAAGTAAAGTAAAATTTAAAAGATAAATCGCAATAATCGCAATAAATACGTTTTCTAACTTTTTTTTCCAAAATTAAAATCAGAGACATAAATTACGTCTGCTTAAATCTAATTCCCAAATTTCCAGAAAACACGGGAATTTGATGCAGAGACCTTGAATTCAAAAACTTACCTTTGGGAGGCCAACCCCCAGCTGGGCCTCGCACCCCCCACTACTTCCGCTACACTTATCATAAAAGCAATTAAGCAATTAACTTGAAACCATAGTTTCTCTCACCTGTGTTTAACACTTGCCAATCAAACTATTTTGATACAATGGAAAGTTCCCTACCTGGACGGCAATACAATATACCCCCCACCCCCCTCCAAACAGGTGTGAAACTCTTGGTACCAACTTTTCGCCTTGGGCTGTATATTTTGTACAGGAATGGCGATTTTAAAGAGAACTGCAATACAAGCATTTCTTATATAATACTAACAATACGTACTCGGTACGATAACTAGTTTCATTATTTATATAACCGGACTTTTTTTGAGAAGGCAATTAACGCGGAAAATTAACCTGGTAAGAATTGCAATGGTCACTGGTCTACGATCAGAGTTGTACGATGTCTATATAAAGATCTAATTGTCCGTAACATAATTTTGAAAAAGAGTTTATGAAATATTCCAGAGATCGTTTTTCACTAATTTCTGTATTTAAAAAGTAGTCACTCACTTCTCTGGAAATGGTACACATATTGTTGAATTCTCGTTATTTTTAGAGGAATAGAAAATTTCACATACATCTGATTAACAGAAAGTAAAAATAGAACGTAGAACAACTTNGTGTTGAAAAAAAAATCAAAAGAAATACTGTCGACACTGCGAGTCCTGACTTTTAAGTCATAATACATAAGTGATCAATAGCATATTTTTAAACATTGCTTAAGCTTGAGGCTATTGATTTCTTTCTATTCACTGCAGTTTGTGAAGCCCAACATCAGCATAGTTTGATCAAGTTGGTGAACTCAAGATCAAATTAAAATGTAAAAGAGTCAGTTTCCAGCCACATTAAGCAAAACAGCAATGTTACCTTTGTCAGTTTGTAGATTGAAGTGACATTGATTCTTTGTTTACCAGCCGGTTATAGGTTACTTAATGAACAGTGTACACATTAATGACACCCCCCTCTCTGCTCACTTATAGACGCTATATGAACTGTACACGGAAAACTCTATAACAATCACATCTGCAAGGGTGAAATTTACCCTGGGCATAAATAGATTTGACTGGGGGAAAGGTCCCGAATATACTGTATGCTCCCGCCCATAGATTTGATTTTGTTTGTCACTCTTACATGTTCAGATCGGTAAGGTATTACATACACCTTCAGTTTTGTACTTTCCTATCAGATAGAAGCCTTAGTTAGGTTGGTTCTATAAGACAAATCAACATTTTGAGACAGATTTGTAAGACTTCTCTATTTCTTGTTCCATTTAACATTTGGTGAATTGTGTATTAACAGGTGGAGAATATACTTATAGCTGACAGTAGTCATTACGTGCTGTGTGACTTCGGCAGCGCTACAGCCAAAGTCCTTGATCCAAGTCAACAAAACGTTCCTCAGGTAGAAGATGAAATTCAAAAGTAAGTCATTGTTAACATGGTCATCTTATCTTGTCACCAATCATCATTTGGGTGAGAAGAATGGTTCTGGTCTGCTGATAACATGCGACCAACAGATGCATAGAAATATTTCCTGTTTTGCCACATGTATCAGTAACGGCTTAGATGAGGTAAAAATTATGGTATGAAAGGAATTAATTGTTAGTAGGATTATTTAACAATAGTAGCTTGTGTATTTGTCCAAGGGTAACTTTTCACTTGAAAATAATCATAATAACTGTTCAATAAGTTATATTATTACGTTATTCCTAGTACAGTACACTTAAGGTGATTTGGTACTGAAACCCCGCGCAGGCGAAGGGGATTAAAGCCCCACCGAGAAATCACCTGAGCAAAGTCGCGGGGGGCCGCCCACCCCGCGCGGATGAGCGTTGGGGATTAACTTGTCGATCGGCAGCTAACTATTGTACTGTACATTGAATAGCACTGACAGTCCAGGATGCCCGAATGCTATATTTATATGCTGTTTGCACGACTATTTCATGCAATACAATATAGTAGTAGAACGTGGTACGTCCGAAAAAATATCATTTACGTTCACGTCAGATTATCGGGTGGAAATCGGTCGGAATAAAACAATTATGTAAGGTAACAATAACTAACGTCTCTGAGTAACACGAGGCTATCTTTCAGTTGTTTAAGCAGCACACAGTGTTTTGGATGGTCAGCTATTTGCACCAACCATTCTTGCTCTATTTCGTATTCGAAGTCAGAAGGTTGCATAAATTCACGAAAGAAAATCAGCTGCTTTCGACGACCTAGTTACAGGTGGCGCTGTTGATGTACATTACGTAATGCGATGTCAATCAGGTGAAGCCGAAATACTTTGACGAGTAACGGAGATGTGTAAAATTCTTCCATTTTCTTGTGTGTACACTTTGTTTGAAAGTTTATAGGGAAATATTACGAACCAGTAAACGAAACAAAATGTCTCGTCTCCAATTAGCGTAGTGATANCATTACGTAATGCGATGTCAATCAGGTGAAGCCGAAATACTTTGACGAGTAACAGAGATGTGTAAAATTCTTCCATTTTCTTGTGTGTACACTTTGTTTGAAAGTTTATAGGGAAATATTACGAACCAGTAAACGAAACAAAATGTCTCGTCTCCAATTAGCGTAGTGATAGAGCCTTGTGTCCGGTTGGCCTTCGAACTTGACAGATGTTACAAAACAAACACGACACAGAATGATTTGGAGATATGCTTTCAACCCTAGAATTTAATATTTCGTCCAAATGTGACCGATTTTGACTAGTCCATATTCTAAAAGACGGTAAAAAGTGTTTGCAACACTACTGGTACCGGCGGCGGCGACCCTTGACCCACAGCAGGTAGCTAGCTGCCTGCTAACAGGGTGCAGGGTGTCTCAAGTTGTCAAGCATGGTTAGCTTTACCATTCTACTCGTGTGTTAATGTACTGGACATATTCATCTTTAATGTATAAACAGGAAACTGTACTTGAAAATTATAGAACAATCTGGAACAATTTTANGACACTTGCACATCGTAAATGTTGCCCCAATGTTTATCACCTTACAAGGCAATGCTGCTTTATATTAAGCATACATGGGTAATTTTAAATAGATCTCGTGGAACTCGTTTCTTTTTAAATATCCACTACAAGACGGGTTTTCCCCCCTAGTATGTGCTGGCATTTCTTTTCCGTTCTGTTCGGTGTGCCGATTGTTACTGTGCATCTGTGGTACCGTAGACAGGAACAGCGGCCACAGCAGACACATCTATGGCCCAAAGTTTGAATACAACTTGAACTAGTAATATACTGTATTTTCTCTGTCCAGACTTAATCCCCATCACCCATGAATGCCGGATAGTCGCGGAGGGCTTATCAATGTAAAGCCGGCGGATCTACCTTGATATAGCCGGCGTTTCTTCCGCGATCATCCCGCGGCTGCGAGCGACAGGGATTAAAATTTGTCGCTCGGCGGGCGACTGAGTACCAAAATACCTGACGCGTACTGTATATGCAAATTATGTATTCAATAATGATATTGTGCCTTATATAGAAATCTCAATGTACTTTATGTATTAAATAGATATACAACTCTATCATACCGGTCACCAGAAATGGTAGATCTCTACAATGGAAAACCAATATCCACCAAGGCAGATATATGGGTAAGATGCTGTACATATAAAAACACTTTCAGTGACAAAAACAGCAAACTTTGATGAGATATGTAGTAATAATTTAATCTTGCTTGTAACATGCATTTTCATTGGCTTAAAATTTTATATTATCAGCTCATAACATTAAAAAATTGACGTCGCCGTTTGTAATGTCGCTTTTGATTGGCTGATACAGCGGCGTTATAATTTCTAAGAGAAAAGAGTCTATCAATAAAATTGGATTTCCACAGGGATTGTGTATAATAGATTAAATTATAAGGATTGACTTGAATATATTTTTCAGTTTGGAAATATGTAATATCAAAGTTTTACTTTCTACACAAACAATGTACGTATTAAACATGTCGCAACATTTCAAGACCGACTGGTCCCTTTGTCAAGTTGTCAAAAAACAGAGTGTACTCTCATTATAAACTGCTTTGCGGTTTATTTAGAGTACACTCCGTTTTTTTGTGTTATAGCTACATAACATGAAAAATATATTCAAGTTAATCCTTAAATAATTGTGCAAAATTAGCACTGAGAAATCCATAGCTCCAGGCTATGGTCTAAGTCTATGATAAGTGGTACTGGACTAGACATATATGTAGTCTGGCTTTAATTAACATTATATAGTGACGGGACAAAATATTGACAATATTTCATTGTTTAGATTTGAAAAATATAGAATAATAAGATCATTTATATTACTCTCTCACTGATAGTGAAATGTTTCTCAGTGATGTAAAACTAGTCATGTAAATATCAAAGTTTCACTTTCTACTCAAACAATGTACATATTAAACATGTCTCAACCTTTCAAGACCGACTGGTCCCTTTGTCAAGCTATGACTGAGTGAGAAATTCGCTCAGTCATAGCTTGAAAAAGGGACCAGTCGGTCTTGAAATGTTGCGACATGTTTAATACGTACATTGTTTGTGTAGAAAGTAAAACTTTGATATTACATATTTCCAAACTGATGAATCTTATAGACGATATAACCATGTAAATGTATGTACTTATTGTAAATTAATTCATTTTAGTATGTACTCCATTTTGCAAACTATGCCTATATATTTTCTTTAACAAATACTTGAATTCATACTTCAGAGGATATCATTGTAACATGGATGGTAATTTACTAGGAAATTAATATCTGCAAAATTTTCAATTAAAGCAACAAAAAAAAGATTTATTGTATATTAAATATACTTATTAAAAGCCAGATGATAAGTAGATCATTAAAACCAATCAATGTTTTGTGTGTTGTAGGCATTAGGTTGTATGTTATACAAGTTGTGTTTCTTCATCTTACCCTTTGGGGAAAGTACACTGGCTATACAGAGTGGAACCTTCACCATACCAGATAACTCCAGATACTCTAACGGGCTTCATGCACTTATAGGTAAGCTTGTAGACAGGAAGTTGTGAGAGATTAAATAAGCTTACAGACAGAAAGTTGTGAGAGATTAAATTAGCTTATAGACAGGAAGTTATGAGAGATAAAATAAGCTAATAGACTTGACGTTATGAGAGGTAAAATAAGCTTATAGACAGGAAGTTATGAGAGATAAAATAAGCTAATAGACTTGACGTTATGAGAGGTAAAATAAGCTTATAAACAGGAAGTTATGAGAGATAAAATAAGCTTATAAACAGGAAATTATGAGAGATAAAATAAGCTTATAAACAGGAAATTATGAGAGATAAGATAAGCTTATAGACAGGAAATTATGAGAGATAAGATAAGCTTACAGACAGGAAGATATGAGAGATAAAATATGCTTATAAACAGGAAGTTATGAGAGATTCATTGAACTGATTGACAATGTTAAATTGTAATAGCTATTTTGTTTTGTAGCGTACATGCTGGAGATAGACCCTGCGAAAAGACCAGATATTTACCAAGTGTCATATGTAGCATTTAAACTGGTGGGCAGAGACTGTCCTGTCTCCAATATGTTTGTAAGTAGACATCAATGTGTGATCTTTGATACAGTCATTGTAGAGCAGAAACTGCTATAGTAATGAGAGGATAGAAAATTGTCCTTATCCTTCACACTGTTTCTAAAAGATACCTGTGTATCTGTGACAATACACTGGTGGAAACAAAGGGGGATTCTATTTCAATTAGGCTTCAGGTTTTAACACTTAATGTAACTGTTATCAGTAGCAAATCCAATGTCAACACACCATAAACACACGAAAAAATTAACATTTTGAATGGATGTAATTGTGGAATAAAATACAATCACCTATATTCACTCAGCAACTTTTGCAGGTGTAAAATAAATATTGTCCTTGACAAATTGTTGGTTCATGACCATGGCCTTTAAAAATCATAACTGTAAAGACTATGTGTTCTTGTTGTCTACAGAGTTGTAAAACACCTGAAATTGCCAAGCTAACACTACCTATGACAGAGTCAGAGGCAAGACAAGTGAAAACGGCAACATACAAGTAAGTCGTATGAGATATAGTGACAACAGCCTCATACAAGTAAGTCGTATGAGATATAGTGACAACAGCCTCATACAAGTAAGTCGTATGATATATAGTGACAACAGTCTCATACATGTAAATCGTATGATATATAGTGACAACAGCCTCATACAAGTAAGTCGTATGAGATATAGTGACAACAGTCTCATACAAGTAAGTCGTATGAGATATAGTGACAACAGCCTCATACATGTAAGTCGTATGAGATATAGTGACAACAGCCTCATACAAGTAAGTCGTATGATATATAGTGACAACAGCCTCATACAAGTAAGTCGTATGAGATATGGTGACAACAGCCTCATACAACTAAGTCGTATGAGATATAGTGACAACAGTCTCATACAATTAAGTCGTATGATATATAGTGCCAACAGCCTCATAAAGGTAAGTTGTATGATATATAGTGACAACAGCCTAATACATGTAAGTCGTATGAGATATAGTGCCAACAGCCTCATACAACTAAGTCGTATGAGATATAGTGACAACAGCCTCATACAAGTAAGTCGTATGATATATAGTGCCAACAGCCTCATAAAAGTAAGTTGTATGATATATAGTGACAACAGCCTCATACATGTAAGTCGTATGATATATAGTGACAACAGCCTCATACATGTAAGTCGTATGATATATAGTGACAACAGTCTCATACAAGTAAGTCGTATGATATATAGTGACAACAGTCTCATACAAGTAAGTCGTATGATAATTAGTAAAAAATGTTGAAGATAAGAATGACCATGCTAAGAATTGTTTAATTAGGTTGTGATTTTTTGTAAAAAAGAAAGGTTGGAAAGCACCTTTTTATACCACGTGTTGTTAAAGTGGTAAGTGTTTGTTGTTATATTAACGTATTATGAGACTACAGTCTTCTTAATACGAGCTGAGTTCATCCTTTACTAGCTTCAGTCACTGATTTGATCATTTAATGTTTCCATTTGTTCATAGAACTGTGTCATCGTCAGCTATAGAGAGTACCACAGTCACCCCACGGTCTCGGCCTAAGGGACAAGCTATTCCACAGGGGGCCACTTTGGGTCTGCCCCTACAGACCTCTGTCGCACCCCGTAAACGGCCAACCCCTACACACACTCCCAATACCGGTAAGTACCCTCTCTTAAACACCAGTAGTTAACTTATTCTAAAATATTCAAGTAAATACTCATTGTAAAGCTGGACATCAGTTATTTTTGTCTTGCCACCACAAAGTAGCAGAAGCGAGACTAAGGTGTCGCTTTTCTGGCGATGGCGGCATCAACATTAAACTTTTGCATTTAAGTTAGTTTATCTGAAACTACAAGTGCTAGACCAACCAAACTTGACATGTGCATTGATAGTCAAAGCGGGGCACAGGCGACACATATCAATCAAAATGGCTTGTTCTCAGGTATAAATAACCTCTCTTGAAATGTATATTTAATTATTCAGTGTAAGCTAGAAATCATTGTTAGGTACTTGTCTCAAATACAGGTAAGATATATGGTGAAATACTATTGTATATCTCTTATTTGGATATCTTTACAGATATATCACAAGCAAGTTCCAGTCAATTGCCTCCAGCAACACAATCACAAAATTCCAGCAGACCTAGTCAGCAACAACAGCAGTTTTATGGTGCCAGTGGTCCAACGCAGGCAGCAGCGGAACACTACAACCAGGCTCCTAACTCGGGGATGACGGCCACAAATCAGTACCCTCAAAACCAGCAACAGTACATGGCTCAGCAAAAGGCTCTCCAGCAACAGTTGTACACACAACAGATGTATAAACAACAACAGCAACAAAAACTATATATGCAGCAGCAGCAGCAGCAGCAACAACAACAACAACAACAACAACAACAACAACAACAACAACAACAACAACAACAACAACAACAACAACAACAACAACAGTATATGCAAAGTCTTCAACATCAACAGAATCTACAACAACAGCAACAACGGTTAAATGTGGCTCAGCAAAGAGTAATGAGTCATTCCCATCATGATGGACAGTCCGTTGCGCCTGCTGCCATCCACAGCAGTCATAGTAGTGAGGCACTCTTCTCTAACTTCTCCGACACTTTTCATCAAGAAAGAACAAATGTTACTGACGATTGTGTGTATAACTCGAGTGTTGGTCAGAACAATATGTCAGGTCGCAACTCCATTGAGGACAATTTTAAAATCTCTAGCACTTCTCATTCTCGACAGAAAGGCAGTACAGGCAAAGATGTAAGTATATCAAGTGTCAACGGTTTTATAACAAATCCTATTCCTCTGTTACCTACAAGGTACAATATTCATACAGCAGTTTGGTGTTTATATTAGTATATTAAACATAATTTTGTTAAAAGCAAGTCTGTCATAAATATATCAGCTGCAAGGTCTGGCATTCATCTCATCAGATAATGTTAGTGATGTTAACATACATAACACCATTGTGATGATATATAATAGCACCATTGTACTTGTGTATATAAAACACACTTTTGCAGGGGCTGTTACAGGAAATAAATTTAAATCCAGGTACCTAGAGTCAAAATTATACCCATCTCTGTAATGTTGAGAGGAATTGAATATATAACAAAAGTAAGAAATATCCCTGTTCGCTGATTTTGTCTTTTCAGTCGGATGCTCAGCCACTGATATCTATAACACCGCCACTGTCACCAAAGGTTGTCAAGAGTCACCGTAGAAACGTCAGTGATACGTCCTACGTAACCATGGGAGGAAAGGGAAGTGCCTTCAGGTTGGTCAAGGGAAGGTATACTGGTCAACATATTCTCTTGATGTTGTCTGGTAGTTTTGAGGCTCTCGTTATATTTTAGTATATAGTACCGAATGGGCAAGTTTTCTTTAATTGGAGATTTTGCCTTGCAAACACACATGTATCATACCATTAATATAATAAAAGCATTCATGTTTAATCTCGAGGTATCCAAAAGTGTGTACTGCCACATCATACTTATTGTTGCTGTGAAAAAAATGAATTCCCATTTCTGATCAAGGTAAATCACTTGAAAGTAAATCTCATTCTACATTGTGATATTTCTGTTTGATAGAGCTTCCACTGCCCCCACTGTATTTACATATCAGACTACTAGTGTGGAGCCCTTACCGAGGTTTTGTCTGTTTTCTGTGGGACATAGGAGAAACTACCCCTATTACAATACTTTGGACCTCTGTTTTTCTGTTTGTTCTTACATGCTCTTTCTTTCAGACAGTGTCTTCCCTGGTCTCCCTGTCTTCATATAACGTAAATGTTGTAAGGATGTAAAACTGAACACAATTAGTAGGATATCTCCCTAGTGCTGAATGCAGCTGATCTACAGAGTAATCTAGCCAACTGATAATCGTCGACTTTTGCTGTAAAAGAAGGTCGTTGGATTAAAGAAGGAAAGCGTCTGGGTGATAATTAAGTCCTGCGACGGAGATGTGGGGTACCCCGTAGTAATCAGTGTCTGTCTGTACTTTTGTTACTTGGCTGTGCTTATATTTTACTAAGAATGAAGGTAGCTGTATTATCTACTAAAATGGTGGCAAGATTATTTACCGAGAACAAAGGTTATTAGATTTTATACTGAGAACGATGATGGCTAGGTTATCTACTCAGAATGAAGGTGGCTAGATTATCTAATGTGAAAAAATGTGGCTAAATTATTTAGGCCCCACTTGATTCTTCTGTAAAAGGTAAATTTTAACTTATGTTGCCAGAAATTACCAGGGGAACTTTCTGTCTGCACCATTACAAGGGAAGTCGAAATCAGCCACCACCTCACCTGTACAGTCCTCATCCATGTAAGTTACAGTAAGATATCAGTATAATGTTGAATATGTTACAAGTTCAGCCACTGTATACCTGTGTATTCCCCAGCCAGTGAGTTACAGAAATATCTCAGTATAATATTTAATATATAACAAGTTCAGCCACTAAATACCTGTGTCTTCTCCAGATAGGTAAGTTACAGTGAAATATTTCATTAAGTATAATATTTAATGTATAACAAGTTCAGACACTGTATACCTGTGTATTCTCCAGCAAGGTAAGTTACAGTAAAAAATATCTTGGTATAATATTTAATGTATAATAAGTTCAGCCACTAAATACCTGTGTCTTCTCCAGCCTGGTAAGTTACAGTGAAATATTTCATTAAGTATAATATTTAATGTATTACAAATTCAGACACTGTCTACCTGTGTATTCTCCAGCCAGGTAAGTTTGTGTATCCCCAGCCAGGTAATCATAAGGTACCAAGGAAATGAAAACTTTACATGAAATTGGTGTTACCGTTTGCCTACAGAATGAGACCTTGTACTTTCTAGGTCACCAACACATGTAAGCATGTATATTACTGTTTGCATACAGATTGAGACCTTGTTTGTTGTACTTTCTAGGTCACCAACACATGTAAGCATGTATATTACTGTTTGCATACAGATTGAGACCTTGTTTGTTGTACTTTCTAGGTCACCAACACATGTAAGCAGGTGTATTACCATTTGCCTACAGAATGAGACCTTGTTTGTTGTACTTTCTAGGTCACCAACACATGTAAGCAGATATATTACCGTTTGCCTACAGAATCAGACCTTGTACTTTTTAGGTCACCAACACATACAAGCAGTTATATTACCGTTTGCCTACAGAATGAGACCTTGTTTGTTGAACTTTATAGGTCACCAACACATGTAAGCAGGTATATTACTGTTTGCCTACAGATTGAGACCTTGTTTGTTGAACTTTCTAGGTCACCAACACAAGTAAGCAGGTATATTACCGATTGCCTACAGAATGAGACCTTGTACTTTCTATGTCACCAACACATGTAAGCAGGTATATTACCGTTTGCCTACAGAATGAGACCTTGTACTTTCTAGGTCACCAACACATGTAAGCATGTATATTACTGTTTGCCTACAGATTGAGACCTTGTTTGTTGTACTTTCTAGGTCACCAACACTAACACGAGCTGTATCAGCTGATATATCAGACTGGAATCCTTTTGATGATAACTTCGGTGTTGATACAGAAGAGGAAATATTTGGCAAGGAATTTGATAAACTAAGACGTGGCTCCAATAGCAGTAAGTAGCTGGGTGTCTCCCTTCCATTTAATCATGTTGTTTACTACATGTGTATACAGTACTTTCATCAATGTTGCAGTTAGGCTCGCTGTGGTGAACACAGGTTTAGGATGCTGAATTCGAAGTTGACCTACGTTTTACACTTTAGTGACTTCCTTAATATTCTCTCATAAATCACATGTCTGAGTAAGTTCTACATTGATAAAACTTAAATCAATGCTGCAGTTAGGGTTACTGTACATGTTGTAGATGCTGAATATGACCTACATTTACATTTCAGTGACTTGGTTAAGAAGAAATTATCTAATTCATATATTAGCTGAAAATAGTTGTTTTTTCTGTATCTGGATGTGTTGTTGCTACATAGATAAACTTTTGAAAATACTTGGTGTTGTAAAAATATGTTTGTCATCACTGGGAGCATTAACAGTACTATTCATGGTCCACTCTTGTTTCTTACATTCCAGAGTACTACTGTTTACAATTGTATACTAAATCATAACTCGGGTATCTCATCTGACCATGACCAGTCAATGGAGCAGGGATATAGATAACAAGCGTCTTTGTCATTAAAATGATAAGTTACCTGTACACATGCCAAACCAAACTGGTTTGACCAGGGGGTTGTTCCAACTTGCAATGTACTGTTGTGAAAGACTTAGAGTATATTGATTAGTATTAGTGGATATGAAATTAATGTCTGGACAAACCTAATCAACAGCATGTTTCACACATCATAGGCTTTCCAATTATTGACCAGTTAGGAGGGGCGGTAGACCAGTGGTAGGACGCCAGATTCGTGACCGAAGGGTTGCAGGTTTGAGTCACGTCACGGCACTGTGTTGTATCTTTGAGCAAGATGCTTTACTCTGCTTGTTCCAGTCTACTTAGCTGCAAATGAGTATGTGGTTGGGCAGTGCAAGAATTGTTTAATGCTAGCTGTGAGCACTGAAATTGGCACCCCAGGGAGTTGAGAAAGATTTTGGCTGGTTGCAAAGGCCCTATAACCACGGATAAGAATTTGTGAACTGCCTTGAGACGACCTACAAACTAAGTTGTGATAAAGCGATATGAGAACCTTGAATTATTATTAGTATTATTACTGTGCAGGTGTCATATACAAAAACTCATAAAATCCTTGCTGTTTCAATTCACCTTCCGCTATCTGATACATTGAATAGAACTTATGCCAGTACACAAAAAAGCGTAGTATTTTAGGGTCTACAAATTTGCCTCGGCTTCGTTATATGGTGTAAATGTATTTGATAATTGTGATTATCATCATTTGAATTAATATAGAATGATGCATTGAGATGTCTGTGCATCAGCATCAGATTCGTAAATAAATTAAATTAGGTTGTTATCCCATATCCACAATAGTTTAGTTATTTGTGTTTAGCAAGCATGACGGTTTTCCATGAATGAACATTGCCATGGTCATCTCAAATTGTGTGAGCTCACGTTTATTATAGCCACTTTAATCCCATACAATTCAAATGGGTTGAACAATACTTACTTACTTTTGTTCAAACTGGCCAAAGGTTTATCATATATCCAACATAAAGAGTAGACAAGACCTTGTGATGTCTGCAGGCTCCGACTCATCAGACCTTGTTTATTTTACAGGTATGTCTAATGTAAAGAGTAGAGAAGACCTTGTTATGTCAGGCTCCGACTCATCAGACTTTGTTTATTTTACAGGTATATCTAATGTTAAGAGTAGAGAAGACCTTGTGATGTCAGGCTCCGACTCATCAGACCCCTTCACTAGTGCACCATTCAAAAAACCAGGTATGTCTGCATGTCTGTATAGGTTCTTGTGTACTTCAAGCACAATTTATATTGAAGAAAATACATCAGTCAATTCTGTATTGTGTTATAGTGGAAAAAGTCAATAATTCAAAGGGATGTTTAATCAATATTAATTGCTCTTGGTGAATTTGTTTATCTGATTGAGAAAACTGTGTAAAAACTATTTCTGGAGTAATTTAACTGTCAGATGAGTTAAAGGCATGTCGCCCTTTCTTAACGTCCTGTCCAGAATGAACTTGATGATTGTCATATTCTTGCTTGGTAGACATTACAATAAACTTTATGGTATCAGTACTGCATTTCTCCTATCCAATCTCAACGTGACCCAGCTAAATCTTTCTATAGGGATGCTTTGTATAAGTATAAGATATGTGAATGTACTCTCTAGATTTTCACCATCTTGCTATGGTTCTGTGATCATATGACAGAGAGACTTCCCTTGTGTATAGAACATCTTACCTGACCAATCAACCCTATTTACTACTGCCTAGGTTTGTGCACATTAGTTATGCATGGTATACCTGAAGAAGTATTATTTTTTCCCTTTACCCTTTTCCCTGAACAAGAAATAGTTTTCACTGCACCTAAGGTTTCTTCTTTATGGTAAAACAAGAAAAGACGATAGTTATATCTCAAGTTTGATTGATTCAGATCTGGTGGAAAGCTGTGTTGTTTTTGATTTTGTTTAAATGTTTTGATTGACAAATTCTTGATAGTCAAATTGAGTTCTGAAGATATAAAGCAAACTTCCAATAAGTTTAAAGGTCGTAAGCCAAGCAAGAATAACCTGAAATTTTAAGATTGGTAAATGGTTCAAGCTGTCTCTGAAGAAAGCCCATCGCAGGTGTTAGACTGTCTATCAGGCCCTTCACCCTGTGAGGGAGGGTTTAACTGTCTATGGGGCCCGTTAAAACCATAAGAAAATGTTATTGTCTGTTTATAAAGCCATCTCCATTCCTGAGAGAATATCCAAGTGTCTAGGTTTATTACCGATACTCCTTAGAGACTTCCGTTGTCTATCAGGCCCATTTCAACCCAGAGAGAATGTTAGATTGTCTAGGAGTCCCATCCCATCTCTGAGAGTGTGTCAGATTGTCTAGGAGTCCCATCCCATCTCTGACAGTGTGTCAGATTGTCTAGTATTCCCATCCCATCTCTGAGAGTGTGTCAGATTGTCTAGGAGTCCCATCCAATCTCTTGAGCGTGTGTCAGATTGTCTAGGAGTGTCATCCCATCTCTTGAGAGGGTGTCAGATTTTCTAGGAGTCCCATCCCATCTCTGAGAGTGAGTCAGATTGTCTAGGAGTCCCATCCCATCTCAGAGAGTGTGTCAGATTGTCTAGGAGTCCCATCCCATCTCAGAGAGTGTGTCAGATTGTCTAGGAGTCCTATCCCATCTCTGAGAGTGTGTCAGATTGTCTAGGAGTCCCATCCCATCTCTTGAGAGTGTGTCAGATTGTCTAGGAGTGTCATCCCATCTCTTGAGAGTGTGTCAGATTTTCTAGGAGTCCCATCCCATCTCTTGAGAGTGTGTCAGATTTTCTAGGAGTCCCATTTCACCTGTGAAGGAATGGCCAACTATTTGTGTGGTCCATTCCAGCCTTGATATGGACTGTCTATCGGCCCAGTTCACCTCTCTGAGAGGGTTATATTGACTACGAGGTCTTTTCCATCCTTGAGGGACAGATATGATTGCTTACAGTTGATTATACTTATTCCTATGAGAGTGCAATTGTCTTTAAGACCCATTCCAACCTTGGAAGAATTTGACTATCTGTCGGCCTTTTACACCCCACAGAGATTGTTTTATTGTGTATAAAGCCCAATTTACTCCTCAGAAAGTGACTTCTCCTTTGAAAGAGTGTTAGATTGTTTATAAGGCCCATATCCCCAGGTTTGTTTATGCTTTAATCTCTTCCCACTCCTGGTTGTTTGTCTATGAGGCCATTCCCACTGCTGGGTGTTTATTTTATAGGCCCCCTCCCCCACCCCCAGATGATTGTCTATAAGACCTGTAGATAGATGAGGTTGTTGCATGGGGTAGCATGTAATGCATGACTGTAATATGTCCCGGCTACTTACAGGTAGAACAGGGCCAGGCAGTTCTCACCACCGGAGCACTTCCAGCACATCCAACTCCAGTTATGGAGGTAAACCGCGCTAAATAGCTTGTCTCTGACTGCACGCCTCGCCTTCCTTCCATCTTCATCATAATCATCAGGATGGTCCTTTCCTAGACTCAGCAAAAAAATAATAATATGGCTTCCATCATTTCGGTATCATTGTACCTGTCCGATTTCGGTGCTTAGGATTTGCATATTTTAAAAGGATAAACATGTATAAGAAAAAATTAAGTTTAAGTTTATGGTATGATCGTTTTTGCATTATCTAAGATTATTTTAAGCACCATTTACAAGGTAACGACAGTGTACACGAAGCAATGATGGACACCATTATAAGATTAGATGGCCTTGATTTTACTGGTTTATGATCTGTATGTGTTGCAGACCAGGGTGGACAGAGGCGGTACTCAACACCGTGGAAACCACCGGCAATGTGTAAATCTACTATATTGGAGGAGGCCTAGCTGTGTGTTTTCTCCCTAATAGTCATTCTGTGTGTTCAGTTGATAGACATTCCATCATATGATTGGAAATCCACAAAGTCCGTGATCGAAATCCTACTAGTCTCCCATGAATCTAGACCTTTTAGCATTAACCAACTAAATACTATACAATCAATTTTGCTTCACCAAGTCATAACTTAATATGAAATTATGAATACATCATTTTATTGTTCTTGATTTTTTTTTTCTTTCTTTGAAATTTCTAAAGCCGTTACATTTTTGTTCACAATCATTCCATTTTCAAATGTAACTTATTGAACGTATTGTATTAAATTTTATCTCCTTCAAATTTTTGCATAGATCAGTTGTTCATAGTGTTTATGTAACGTTTTTACTTTGGTAATTCAAAGGTTCTATAGAATGTTGATGTCGCAAAGCACATTTTGATAATTGATGTACACTTTTCATTTTGATGGGATCTGTTTGTATGTGATACATTGTGACATTTGAACTTTGAACTTTTGAGGTAATGCCTTGTACAGGTGAAAAAGAAGTGTTAGCTCCTGTTATCCTTACTGGGCTGTTTGTAAGAAACAACTGTTGACCTTGTTTTCACCATGAGAGTGGTTTGTGCTAGTATTATTGAGGTATTGATGGTGTGATTTTACTGGAATTAAGGTACTATTTGGGTGATTTCTGTTGAATTGAGGTTCCATAAGGGTGCTTTGTGTTATTGTCATTGAGCTTTAAATAGGATAATTTGTATTAATGTACTACCATAAAAGCGATTTTTGTTCCTTTTTCCGATGTCATTGAGAAACCATTTAGGCGACTTCTACTGATGTCGTACAATTGAAGCTTGTATAGGCAATTTTTAGCTATGGTTGACTGGTAGCTGTATAGACAGGTTCACTAGGAGCTGTCCTCTGTAGACAGGTTCACACCTGGGATATGTCCTCTGTAGACAGGTTCACACTTTGGAGTTGTCCTCTATAGACAGGTTCACTAGGAGCTGTCCTCTGAAGACATGTTCACACCTGGGAGATGTCCTCTGTAGACAGGTTCACACCTTGGAGTTGTCCTCTATAGACAGGTTCACTGTGCACTGTCCTTTATAAGACAGGTACACTGGGAGCTGTCTGCTATCAAGGTGCACAGCTAGAAGCTGACCTGCTATTGACATTCAGGAGGCACTGCTTGTTTGTCATCCTGTCTATCATTCCATAACAAAGTTGAAGTAGATTTCCTGTCTGTATTGTGAGTACTTGTTTGACTTGGGAGGTTAAGATGTCTGATAGCTGTCCTGATTGACATATATATCTTATTTATGATAAACTATATATATATATATGTATCTTATTTATGATAAACTATATATATATAAATGTATCTTATATATGATAACCTATATATATATATATGTATCTTATATATGATAACCTAGTCAGAATTGTATTTTTCTGAGATTTTGAGCCACAACCGATAAAAGATTTCATGTAGAGGAGGAGATCCAGAGTTGTTTAACTGTAGTTTTGTTATAAATCAAATGTTACTCAAATGTTACTTTTAAGATAAACACATGCTTTAGGTGTTTCATTACTTTCTTTCTCCATAATCAAGCTTAAGTTGTATTTAGCCTAACATGAAGTATAGAAGCCAGTCTTCTTGCCAGCATTAAGTATTCTGGTCAGAATCAGGCTATTTCTTACTGTCTAACAGAGGAAACTTGATACTTTTTTTTTTTTTTTAGAAAGTCAGGTAGAAATAAGCTTTTAATTCACAGTGAAAATGATATAATAGAGACGATATTATATGTTAAGAGAAATGCTAAATGCAATGTTTGTTTGATAATTAAGATTTTGTTTACCTTGGTTATTTAGTCTATCATAATGTAGTGTACATGATTTTTACCTGGGATCGAGGATGTCGGATATGTAGTGTAGACAAGATTGGTAGGCACTGCTACTTTTACAGGGCACTCTGATGTACAATGCACTTGAGACATATATAATTGTTTTTAACACATGGGATAAGGGTAATCTGCTTTCATGTTGTAATCCTCCACAAGTCTGAAACTATCAAACATCTAAATATCATTCAAGCCATTAAAAACGAATTGGTTTGTGTGTGATTGAACAAAGTTGTACATGAAATGTGATATTAATTAGCTTGCCTAAATTTAGTTTCATAGAGATAGTGATATGTTTTTTTCTCTCAAATTGTTAACTTTTGACAGGTCTTGATAGGTTCTGTATAAAGTCCTGAAAGCTTCTCTGTAAATCCTGATATGACCAGTGTTAGTCCTAATGGGTTCTGTGTAAAGTACTGATTGGTTCTGTGTAAAGTCCTCATGGATTTAATGTAAAGTCCTGATAGGTTCTATGTAAAGTCATAGAAGATTTTATGTAAAGTCCATATTGGTTTTGGTGTAAAGCCCTGATAGGCTCTGTCTGAGGTCCCGACAGATTTTCGGATGATTCCTTGTTAAAAAATGTTGTTTTTATTTCATTGTGTCTGTTTTGAAATACAACAGGGTAAGTTGTTATTAACAGGAAGACAGGGAATTTTGTAACTTTTTTGGAAGCTTTCAGTTGTGTCCCCAAATTATAGGGTAGAAATTGAAGGTTTCATATTGACCTAGTTTTGTTATGAGTTGTACTTGATTCAGTTTTATTTTGAGTTGAACTTCAGCCTTGCTTTGATTTTTATTAGCTCACCTGGTCCAAAGGACCATGGTGAGCTTATGCCATACCGCAGCGTCCGTCCGTCCGTCAACTTTTCCTTTAAAACGCTACTAGTCCTGAACGGCCTAGTAGATTTTGACTAAATTTGGTCTGGAGTATCCTTAGGCCAAGGGGACTCAATTTTGTATAAACAGTGGGTGTGGACCCAAGGGGGCAGAGGGTCGGGGCCCAATATGGGAAATAGTGGTAAAACCTTGAAAATCCTTCTTCTACCATAGGGATTAAGGGATTTTATCCTAATTTATTCTGGAGCATCCTTGGGCCAAGGGGACTCAATTTTGTATAAATGGTGGGTGTGGCCCCCCTGGGGGGCTGAGGGGCGGGGCCTGATAAGGGAAAAATAGCAAATTCTTTAAAATCCTTCTACTTCTGTAGGAATGAAAGGATTTTGTTCCATATTTGGTCAGAAGCATCTATGGGGGAAGGGGAACAAATTTTGTATAAACCGTGGGTCTGGCCCTCCTGGGGGCTGAGGAGGCCAAGGGGACTCAATTTTGTATAAGCAGTGGGTGTGGTCTCCCAGGGGGCAGAAGGGCGGGGCCCAATAGGAGAAATAGAGGTAAAACCGTTAAAATCCTTCTTCGACCATCGCTATTAACTCTTTCCGTACCGCAACTCCGGTCCGGATTCCGTACCGTATGTACTTATTAACAGGTAACCGTGAACAAATGTTGTTATTGTTTCATATTCTGGTTCATAGACAAACACTTCTTCATTTTCGTAGCATAATGAATAACTGGTTGCTGCTAATGACTGAGAAATCGACATTTGTCTGGCAATGAACGATACGATTCCTTGTATTTAACACAGCGTTGTAGTGCAGGTTTCCAATGGGGATTGATTATGGTTACGAATGTGGAGTCGTTGAGATTTTTTTCTAAATACAAGTAGATTTTATCAAGACTTATATTAGAATATTCAAATTTACTTCCATAAGTCTCAACAAAAATCTGATGACAAATTTACGAACGTTCGTTCGAATTGGGTTGCCGCTATCTTGTTTACATTTAAGGCACCAAAGGCAAACATTTCGCGGCAAATGTGAAAACATTAAGTCACATAATAAAAAAGTGTACTCTGCACAAATAAAATTATTTCTTCCAAACTGATGGGTTCTGATTTTAGCGCCAATTAATTGTTTTTTTGCGACAGTCTCGTGCGATAACAAACTAAACATCAGGCAGGTTACATCAAAGTCTCTTGTCGTGTGTATACGACAGCGGGGATGAGACGGCCCTTTATTTTGTCGTCTGTACACGACAACGGGGACCAGGATGACATATTGTTGTCGTGTGTACATGACAACGGTACGGAAAGAGTTAAGGGATTTTATCCTTATTTAGTCTGGAGCATCCTTGGACCAAGGGGTCTCAATTTTGTATAATTGGTGGGTATGATTCCCCTAGGGGCATAGGGGTGGGGCTCTGTTTGAAGTTTTCATATGTACTTACAGCACCTACCATGGAGTGCGATATCTTTACTTCATACCAATTATTTTAAACATATTCTGGTAAGCGATACAGGCCCTCTGGGCCTCTTGTAAGAAATTGAATCTTGAGAATGTATGTTAGTGATATTAATTGTCTGAAGTATTTTGTTTAGAAGGCAGATGTTCTGCCTGGGAAACCTTCTGTCTGGGAGGTGAAATGGTTGATGACCGTTGTATACCTGTTAATATTGTTAAAGGGATCAACAGATTGTGCTTTCATTGCTAATGTTTGTGATTATGTGGTGTAACTGTTATCTATGTAACTATTACCTGTGTAACTGTTACCTGTGGTCTGTTCTGTTTGCCTTTTGTCATTCAGTAATGAGCTGCTTACTCAGTGTTTACCAAATAGTGTTTCTTACTGTATATCTTTGTGATTGGTTGTCTATGCAAATTAAATGGAAGAATATTTAATTACCTCCCCTTACAAAAATGTACTCATTAGATATATGTATGTAGCATGAAATATGCACTAATTTAACAGTTGATATTTTTTCATCAAACCAATTTTGTGGAAAGGGGAAAATATAATGGCTAAGATCCATTTTGAATAAGTAATTTTGTAAAATTTCATGGCAATACAAATATAAGCACGTCACACGTGTTGCTAGACAATTCAATAATAATGTTATATCATTTTCATTTTGTATTTAAACTTCAAATTTTACAAAGATTGAATATGTTATTGTATCATTTCTAAATGAAGATATTTAAAAGTTTTTCAGCAAAGGGAAGTTACCTTGGTATGAGATTTTCTATTATATAATGTTATAAAAGTTTCCCAATTGTTTGAATCTGGGATATAGCTCATCCTAGTGATCTATTGTCCTGTAACCAGCACTGAAGGAACTCATTGTAGGGACTAGTTAAGACAAGGAATACGATATATATGTTTTCCTAAGTATAAAACCAAAACCAAAAATAAAACCATATGCTTGCCAAAGAGGATTTTATTTGTATACTGAAGTGTGGCAAGAGTTAGTTTACTATCATAATACTATTGGTACATACATTATAGAACATTAAATGGACTAATGTCTACATTTTGACACTTTGTATTACTAGATTAGTTATGATGATTTTCATTTATTGTAATATAAAGTTACAATACAAAATACTTAGGAAACTGTGTTGCTGGTTGCAGCAGTGCTTTTCTACCACAGAAAATATAAACCAGTTTTACATCATATATTATTTGGAGATTGGCTTATCATAGGATGAAAGATATCTGAAAAACAGTAAGAATGTGTGAGTGTGTTGGAGATCCTCTCCGGGTATTTATGTCTGTATAATCTTCCTCATTTCATGTCATCAAGTCGTCGTCATCATCCTAGCCTGCCTCACTTCATGTCATCAAGTCTGATAGCCTCCTCTCAGCCTACCTCACTTCATGTCATCAAGTCTGTAACCCTCCTCTCAGCCTGCCTCACTTCATGTCATCAAGTCTGTAACCCTCCTCTCAGCCTTCTTCACTTCATGTCATCAAGTCTGTCAACCTCCTCTCAGCCTGCCTCACTTCATGTTTTCAAATCTGTCACCCTCCTCCCAGCCTTCCCCACTTCATGTCATCAAGTCTGTAACCCTCCTCTCAGCCTGCCTCACTTCATGTCATCAAGTTTGTAACCCTCCTCCCAGCCTGCCTCACTTCATGTCATCAAGTCTGTCAACCTCCTCTCAGCCTGCATCACTTCATGTTTTCAAATCTGTCACCCTCCTCCCACCCTTCCTCACTTCATGTCATCAAGTCTGTAACCCTCCTCTCAGCCTGCCTCACTTCATGTCATCAAGTCTGTAACCCTCCTCTCAGTCTGCCTCACTTCATGTCACCATGTATGTCACCCTCCTCTCAGCCTGCCTCACTACGTGTCATCAAGTTGATACCCTCCTCTTAGCCTGCCTCACTTTATGTCATCAAGGTTGTCACCCTCCTTTCAGCATGCCCCACTTCGTGTCATCAAGTCATTCAGCCTCCTCTCAGCCTTCTTCACTTCATGTCACCAAATATGTCACCTTCCTCTCAGCCTGCCCCACTTCGTGTCATCAAGTCAGTCACCCTTCTTTCAGCATGCCCCACTTAATGACATCAAGTCATTCAGCCTCCTTTCAGCATGCCCAACTTCATGTCATCAAGTATGTCACCTTCCTCTCAGCCTGCCCCACTTCATGTCATCAAGTCATTCAGCCTCCTCTCAGCCTGCCCCACTTCGTGTCATCAAGTATGTCACCCTCCTCTCAGCCTGCCCCACTTCATGTCATCAAGTCAGTCAGCCTGCCTCACTTCATATCATTAAGTTAAATGAATGAGGTGTGACTTTATAGATTGTACAGAAACTTGTTTGACTTTATACATCTGACAGTTTCAAAATATGTAAGTGCAAAAGTCTTGATTTGATCAAACTTGTTGATGTGTATTTGTTTTAGTGTTAAGCAAATCATGCATTGTATATGTAAACCCTACATAGTTTAAGTGGATAATACAGAGACCCAGTAATTCAAAGTTCTGTCATCTTAAAGGTACTTATGAGTTAGGTGTTCGTTTATATTGAAAATAAAAATGGAACATTTTGTTGCATTTCAGAAAAATAAAAAGGAAGAAGAATAGCTTGAAATACTTTGAACCAACATGCTAAGTTTACAGAGCTTTGAATAAGGGGTCATTATATTATATGTTGGAGGGTCATTTATGATGTATAATTGTATATAATAAGTGTACCCCATTTTCATGATTAATGAAAGTTGTTATTGAGATCATCAGGTGCCATATGGAGAGCCTTGTTTCAAAATTGCTTGTTATTTTCACATTTTATTTTTCCTATGTTCGTTTTGCACAGCCCTTTGCATGACAAAATATTTGAAAAAATATGTTTGTAGCTTGTAACTCTACCTTGGACCATCCTTTTGATTTTCGCCTCGTTCTTCACATCACATCTTTTGTCATTTCTGCCATTTTAATATCTTTTTGCAAAATGCACTTTAAAAATATCTGTATATATATATATAATCATATTTGTGCTTATTAACAAAAACCAAAGTCAGCAGTTTTGAAACAAGGGTTACCATGGTAACTAATGGGAAATTGTGCCAAGTGTTATTTTTGGTACTGTATGATAGACGTGCAATACCTTCTAGCTATATAGACATGTCAGTGATAGGTTCATCTGTTAGTGGTTCGAAGTTCATAGCTATATAGACATGCCAGTGATAGGTTCATCTGTTAGTGGTTCCACGTTCATAGCTATATAGACATGTCAGTGATAGGTTCATTTGTTAGTGGTTCCACGTTCTAGCTATATAGACGTGTCAGTGATAGGTTCATCTGATAGTGGTTCCACGTTCATAGCTATATAGACATGTCAGTGATAGGTTCATCTGTTAGTGGTTCCACGTTCATAGCTATATAGACATGTCAGTGATAGGTTCATCTGTTAGTGGTTCCATGTTCATATTTTAATAGAATTTATTTTTGTTGTTGCCATGACTGCAAATATCCATTTTGTAGATCGCATAATTTTGAAATAATTCAGAATAAAGGTAATTCTTTGAAATTGACATTCATTGTTGATTTATTTGTTTTGTCCCCAAAACTGCTGACTTTGCTGGTTTTTAGGTTGTTTTACAGATTTTGCCGGTAAATCTTCTTTATTATATTAAGGATTTTGCTAATGACTTAGTCAAAGAAATTTAAATGCTAAAATTGATGTAAAAATGTTGATTAACAATCCATTGCCAAAATGTTGTAATTAAAATTGTATGGTTTGATTTATAGTAGATTAACATGAACAGCGGAATTGTAAATCTGAATGGGTTAGTTTACTGAAGTACAAAGAATAGTTAACCTGAGGAGGAAGTGAAAAAATGATATATGAACAAACAAAACAATCACTTCAGTGAGAACAAAATAATTATACTTTCCTAAAAATCAAACTCCAGATTATTTACGTAGGGACAAACTAAGGATTAGTATACTTCCAGACAGAGAAAGAAATTCCTTACATCAGGACAAATTAAGGAATATTTCACCTAATAACAAACTTAAATTAATTACCCTAAACACAAAAAAAAGGAATAAAATACATAAGGACAAAGTAAAGAATACTTTGCCTAGGGACAAAGTAAGTGATTCTTCACAAAGGGACAAAGTAAATAATTCTTCACAAAGGGACAGTGTAAAAATAGTCTAACTAAAGACAAAGTAAAGAATACTTCGCCTATGAACAAAGTAAATGGGACAGAGGGACAGAGTAAGAATAGTCTAACTAAAGACAGAAGAGAATACTTCTGGAGATGTTCTACAGATGCATGCACTTTGACTTTTGGGGCTGCATATGACTACATTTATAGATGAATGAAACATCAAAACTACATTTAGAATAATACATTAACCCTAATAATTGACATACACCGAATATTGAATCAGATTAACACAAATCAACAGCTTCGAAAGGCACAAAACAGCACAATCATTATCTGAATAATGCTGTTATTTCAGTATTAACATAAAGAACTGAGACTGTGGTTCTGACACAAAATTCTGGACCCGAGTGTGAAATTTTCATATCCCACATACCTAAACCATGGTTGACTATTTTTTAACACCTCTGCAATTTAGATAAAATATGACATGGACATTTCAAATGCCACACTTATTATAGCAAACTTTCTAGATAATGTCTACACAAACTAAGACCATATTTAAAAAAAAAGAAGAAAAAAGGAACATTATACCAACCATATACCTCTAAAATAGCATGTTATACCTACAGGGCAAGCTTGTGCAAAAACTTTTATGTTCCTGAGATGGTGATACTTGAATTTCAGGTCTACCTTCATCCTAAATCCACCTCCACTATCAGGTCCATAACCAACATCAGGTCCACTTCTACCCTCAGGTCCATCACCACCCTCAGGTCAACTTCCACCCTCAGGTCCACTTCCACTATCAGGTCCACCACCACCCTCAGGTCAACTTCCACTATCAGGTCCATAACCACCCTCAGGTCCATCACCACCATCAGGTCGATCACCACCCTCAGGTCCACTTCCACTATCAGGTCAACTTCCACCCTCAGGTCCACTTCCACTATCAGGTCCATCACCAACATCAGGTCCACTTCCACCATCAGGTCCTTCACCACCCTCAGGTCAACTTCCACCCTCAGGTCCTCTTCCACCATCAGGTCCTTCACCACCCTCAGGTCTATATCTACCGCCACTCTCGCCTACATTCCACTATCCCACCCACCTCAACCTACAGGTCCACCTTCATTAGCGGGTATCGCCTCCACTACGGGTCTACCTCCAACCTGGGGTCCACCTACACTTGCAGGTCCACCTCAAACCTATGGTCCACCTCCACTTACAGATCCACCTCCAACCTGTGGTCCACCTCCACTTACATGACCATCTCCAACCTAAAGTCAACCTCAATGTAGAGGTCCACCTCCACTTACAGGTCTACCTCCACTTCAGGTCCACCTCCACTTACAGGTCTACCTCCACTGCAGGTCCACCTCCATACTGGGGTCCTCCTCAACTTACAGGTCCACCACCAACCTGAAGTCAAACTCCACTTACAGGTCTACCTCCACTTACAGGTCCACCACCAACCTGAAGTCCAACTCCACTTAAGGTCCACCTCCACTACAGGTCCACCTCCATACTGGGGTCCACCTCCACTTACAGGACCATCTTCAACCTAAAGTCAACCTCAACATACAGGTCCACCTCCTCTTACAGGTCCACCTCCATCCTAGGGTTCCACCTTCAGTTACAGGTCCACCTCCAACCTGGGGTCCACCTCCACTACAGGTCCACCTTCAACCTTGGGGTCCACCTCTATCCTCAGCTCCATCTCACTCTTCAAGCCAACTTCCAACATAATGTCCTCTGACCTTATTCTTACCTACATCATCAGCTCCATCAACCTGTGGTCCACCTCCACATTACACCTGATGACCTAATCTGTATAACTGTATATACCATTGCTTTGGCCAAACTTCACTCTTAAGTCCACCTTTATCCTCGAGTCCCCCCTCGACTCTTAGCCTCCACTTACCTCCACCTGAGCCACTATGTACCATCCTCAGCACCCTATATATATGGCTTCTGACTCTGGCAAATTGCACATAGTAACAAAACCAGTCAAAGTTCGCAATTGGATATGGTATTCACACAACACAGACTGACGAAATGTCATTTTATAACAAGCTATAAAATGATTTACTTAAGAACAAGGTAAGGAACACACTACCTAAGAACAAAGTAAATATTTAACTTCTCCTAGAAACAAAGGAAATATACTTTACATATGAAAAAAATCTCTAAGATTACTAAAAAATTAATAGTTTGCCTGAGGACGAAGTAAAATGTTACTGTAATATATAGCTTAGGATGATTTTCCAAAGAATTCCACCAACCCCTGTGGAAAAGTCGTTAGGTGATCATGTCATGAATATGTTTGTGATCCCCACCCTATAACCAGCATGATAAGATGAGATGCTATAATGTTTGGATCTAGGGTCTTTACATGGAAACAGTTACGTTCCCTTGACCAATGTACTTAGTCCTACCAACCCCTTGGTAATTAGTCTTTTGGTCATAGCATGAATATGGTTGAGATCCCCACTCCATAATCATATATACAATTTCTGGTACACTGATTGCCCCAGGGGTCCTACCAACACATGGGTCTTGGTCCTTCGGTCATATATAGGAAAAGGTTGAGGTCCTAACCCTATAACCATGCATGGCAATGTGTATGGTAGGATAATTGTGTTGTAGTTAAATAATCATGCTACAAAGATTAGCTCAGAGGTCTGGCCAAGTCCTGAAGACTTATTCCTTGCTTAACCAAATATTCATATGCATATGTACTATTTGCTATGTTGATTTCTTATGTCCACATACACATATAGAATCTAATCCAAATTGCTTATGAAGCATTCTTTGTCCTTAGGACATGGATATCAGAAAGAATGTAGCTCCTGAGGAGGCTAGACCCAAAATGAAGTAGTTTGGGCATTTAATTTGATTATTCTGCCCATACAATTGGTCCTATTCAACTATTTTCAATGGAATCAAAAGGTGTTATCCCTCTGGCTGCTGAAAGATATTTGCAATATTTTATTTGATGGAAAATTTTGCCACAATTGCTTAATGATTCAAGTGAACAATACAGGGCCTCTACACCTCTTGTTATAATTAAGTGACAATGTAAATTAAACATTTGTCAAGGCACATGATTCAGTAGCAAAATGATGAGGTCTACTGATCCTGTTGAAACTATACAATATTTCAATTAAGTAATGAGCAGCTTTATCATCTCAGAATAGTAAACAGGAAGTGTGTCTGAAAACATGTGCTTCCCATTACCTTGAGCTCATTTCTAGCTTCAAATGCTTAGCCAATATTCTTTACCAGCATATGACGGTGAGCTATGAACCAACTGCTCGAAAAACCATCTCTCAAAAATCAATAGAGCAGAATAATGTTCAGTCACTCTTGGAGTGCTATATAAAAACATGAATCCTTCAAACACTACAGGACATTTTCCAGACAACTCAATGTTCTATACAAGTCAATAGTTAAGTACAAATTCTGAAGACACCTACGTACCTATAATTGAGAGAGTGGCATTAGGTATTCATTAAATGCTTCTGCAGCAAAACCAGTGAAGATATATGGCAGGCCACCATAAACTTCAGTGATTTCAAAATGTCGCATAAAATTTGTATTACCTACACTTGTACTGGAAAGAAAAACCTTTGCACTAACAGGTCTCTAAACACAGAAGTACAAACGTAGGCCTGAAACTCTTGGTACCTACACATAAAGTTTTGACATAAGCCTAAATCTCTCTGTATCCACACATAAAGTTTTGACATAAGCCTAAATCTCTCTGTATCTACACATCAAGTTTTGACATCAGCCTAAATCTCTCTGTATCTACACAAAGTTTTGACATAAGCCTAAATCTCTCTGTATCTACACAAAGTTTTGACATAAGCCTAAATCTCTCTGTATCCACACATAAAGTTTTGACATAAGCCTAAATCTCTCCGTACCTACACATAAAGTTTTGACATAAGCCTAAATCGCTCTGTATCTACACAAAGTTTTGACATAAGCCTAAATCTCTCTGTACCTACACATAAAGTTTTGACATAAGCCTAAATCTCTCTGTACCTACACATAAAGTTTTGACATAAGCCTAAATCTCTCTGTACCTACACATAAAGTTTTGACATAAGCCTAAATGTCTCTGTATCTACACATAAAGTTTTGACATAAGCCCAAATCTCTCTGTACCTACACATAAAGTTTTGACATAAGCCTAAATGTCTCTGTATCTACACATAAAGTTTTGACATAAGCGTAAATCTCTCTGTATCTACACATAAAGTTTTGACATAAGCCCAAATCTCTCTGTACCTACACATAAAGTTTTGACATAAGCCTAAATCTCTACCTACACATAATCTCTATCTGTCTACAGTTGAACGTTTCAACATAAGTTACAAACACAAATGTTGAAACATTAGCCTAAATCTCAACACAAAAGTTCTACATCAGCCTTAATCTCTTAGTACTAACACATCAAATGTCTAACATAAGCCTACATTTTTCAGTGCACAAAATACAAAAGTTTCAAAATAAAACTCTACCAATTCACTAAACATTCTCACCTTACTCCCTGCAATCTATACAGACACACAAATGTTCCAATATTAGCGCAAACACAATCCTCTAAACTGACTTCTGCTAGTTGAAAAAATTTTCCAGGTGTAAAAGTTTAAAATGTTGTGACCATCGTTAATCCGGCATGCCAACTTTAACTTTGTACTTCAAGCCTTTACATCTATTTCATACATTTCAAACTGTTCATGGCAACAAATCAACAAAAATCAAACTCTAGCATACTTGCCAACCTTTTGAAATTTCCATGGTAGAGAATCCACAGGCTCAATATTAAAAACATAAATACAATATATTTATATACACCCTAGGTAAAAATAACATACGCCAATGGCATGTTTATAGTTGTTCAGATGAAATCATTAGATCTTAGAATAAAGGAATACTTCAGCAAATTTACTGGTTGAAAATGTGAAATTTCGGGTCCAAAATCTTGAGTCTCCCTCCAAAGGGAGAGTTAGCAAGTATGCTAAGGATAATATGCTGATAGTCAAGAGTACAGTGTTAATACAGTAAACAACAAAAGTCCACATGAGCCTGTGTTGATGGGAGTGCTGTTGGGCTGTGCAGCAGTGCTACTATCCTTATAACACCAATACCTGCTGGTTACTACCTGCACATAATGTCGTGGTCATTAACAGACAACCATCTTGGTAGTGATATTCAGTTAGGAGATAATGCCTCTCTTGTTGACCTCTAGGGTCCAGACAAACAATCATAGTGTTTAGTTGAACTACAGTTTTTACATGCAGCTTACCTTTGAAATGTCAAGTTTAATCCTTGGTTGTTGCTTTTTGTCTGATAAATTAAAACGTCAGGTTATACATACTTGTGGCCTAAGTAAATATCTAACAATGTTACCCTTACTTCAGATATTTATAGAAATGTCTAACCAACAAGAAATCAAAATGGTATGTTGTACATTGTTTTAGATAAAAAATAATGATCACCATTATTGTCAAACATCACAATAACATATCATATAGATCCAATGTCATATATTGGACAATCTATAGATAGTAGTAGTCTTCCCTGATACAAAAGTAAGGTATTCTGATAGTGGTAGTCTCCCCTTACATAAAGTAAGATATTATGATATTGCTAGTCTCCCCTTATTTAAAGTAAGATATTATGATATTGGTAGTCTCCCCTTGTATAAAGTAAGATATTAAGATAGTGGTAGTCTCCCCTTATATAATTGTAAGATATTATGATATTGCTAGTCTCCCCTTGTATAAAGTAAGATATTATGATATTGGTAGTCTCTCCTTATATAATAGTAAGATATTATGATACTGGTAGTCTCCCATTATATAAAAGTAAGATATTATGATACTGGTAGTCTCCCCTTATATAATAGTAAGATATTATGATAATGGTAGTCTTCCCTGATATTAAAGTAAGATATTATGATACTGGTAGTCTCCCCTTATTTTAAAGTAAGATATTATGATCTTGGTAGTCTCCCCTTATGTTAAAGTAAGATATTATGATCTTGGTAGTCTCCCCTTCTATAATAGTAAGATATTATGATCTTGGTAGTCTCCCCTTATGTTAAAGTAAGATATTATGATCTTGGTAGTCTCCCCTTATGTTAAAGTAAGATATTATGATAGTGGCAGCCTCCCCTTATATAAAGGTAAGATATTATGATCTTGGTAGTCTCCCCTTCTATAATAGTAAGATATTTTGATAATGGTAGTCTTCCCTGATATTAAAGTAAGCTATTATGATACTGGTAAAATCTCCCCTTATATAAGAGTAAGATATGATGATACTGGTAGTCTCCCATTATATAATAGTAAGGAATAATGATAGTAGTAGTCTCCCCTTATATAAAAGTAAGATATTATGATATTGGTAGTCTCCCCTTATATAATAGTAAGATCTTATGATATTGGTAGTCTCTCCTTATATAATAGTAAGATATTATGATAGTGGTAGTCTCCCCTTATAAAAAAGTAAGATATTATGATACTGGTAAAATCTCCCCTTATATAATAGTAAGATATTATGATACTGGTAGTCTCCCCTTCTATAATAGTAAGATATTATGATGATGGTAGTCTCCCCTTATATCAAAGTAAGATATTATGATAATGGTAAAATCTCCCCTTATATAATAGTAAGATTTTATGATACTGGTAGTCTCCCCTTATCTTATAGTAAGATATTATGATAATGGTAGTCTCCCCTTATGTTAAAGTAAGATATTATGATACTGGTAGTCTCTCTTTATATAAAAGTAAGATATTATGATACTGGTAGTCTCTCCTTATATAAAAGTAAGATATTATGATAGTGGTAGCCTCCCCTTCTATAATAGTAAGATATTATGATAATGGTTGTCGCCCCTTATGTTAAAGTAAGATATTATGATACTGGTAGTCTCTCCTTATATAAAAGTAAGATATTATGATACTGGTAGTACCCCCTTATTTTAAAGTAAGATATTATGATACTGGTAGTCTCCCTTTATATAATAGTAAGATATTATGATACTGGTAGTCTCCCTTTATATAATAGTAAGATATTATGATACTGGTAGCCTCCCCTTATATAATAGTAAGATATTATGATAGTGGTAGTCTCCCCTTGTAAAAAAGTAAGATATTATGATACTGGTAAAATCTCCCCTTGTATAATAGTAAGATATTATGATACTGGTAGTCTCCCCTTCTATAATAGTAAGATATTATGATGATGGTAGTCTCCCCTTATATCAAAGTAAGATATTATGATAATGGTAAAATCTCCCCTTATATAATAGTAAGATATTATGATAGTTGTAGTCTCCCCTTATAAAAAAGTAAGATATTATGATACTGGTAAAATCTCCCCTTATATAAAAGTAAGATATTAGTAAGATATTATGATACTGGTAGTCTCTCCTTATATAAAAGTAAGATATTATGATACTGGTAGTCTCTCCTTATATAAAAGTAAGATATTATGATACTGGTAGTCTCTCTTTATATAAAAGTAAGATATTATGATACTGGTAGTCTCTCCTTATATAAAAGTAAGATATTATGATAGTGGTAGCCTCCCCGTATATAAAAGTAAGATATTATGATACTGGTAGTACCCCCTTATTTTAAAGTAAGATATTATGATACTGGTAGTCTCCCCTTATACAAAAGTAAAATATTATGATAGTGGTAGCCTCCCCTTATATAATAGTAAGATATTATGATACTGGTAGCCTCCCCTTATATAATAGTAAGATATTATGATACTGGTAGTCTCTCCTTATATAAAAGTAAGATATTATGATACTGGTAGTCTCCCTTTATATAATAGTAAGATATTATGATACTGGTAGCCTCCCCTTATATAATAGTAAGATATTATGATAATGGTAGTCTCCCCTTATATCAAAGTAAGATATTATGATACTGGTAAAATCTCCCCTTGTATAATAGTAAGATATTATGATACTGGTAGCCTCCCCTTATATAATAGTAAGATATTATGATACTGGTAGTCTCCCCTTATATAAAAGTAAGGTATTATGATAGTAGTAGTCTCCCCTTATATAATAGTAAGATATTATGATATTGGTAGTCTCCCCTTATACAATAATAAGATCTTATGATATTGATAGTCTCTCCTTATATAATAGTAAGATATTATGATAGTGGTAGTCTCCCCTTATAAAAAAGTAAGATATTATGATACTGGTAAAATCTCCCCTTATATAATAGTAAGATATTATGATAGTGGTAGCCTCCCCTTATATAATAGTAAGATATTATGATACTGGTAGTCTCCCCTTATATAATAGTAAGATATTATGATAGTGGTAGCCTCCCCTTATATAAAAGTAAGATATTATGATACTGGTAGTCTCCCATTATATAAAAGTAAGTTATTAAGATGGTGGTAGTCTCTCCTAATATAATTGTAAAATATTAAGTAGAAGTCTCCCGGTATATAGTTACAAGATATCATGATGTGGTAGTTTCCCCTTTTATAAAAGTAATATAGTTTGATAGTGGAAGTTCCTTCTTATATAATAGCCAGTTAGATAAGAGAAGGTCCCCCGTACATGGTTAGTCAAGGAAGTTCTCACTGAACACCGCTTTGTTAATTAATCTATATACAAATTTGGATAGTTAAGAAAATGACTCACAAATGTAAGTATGCCTTTGATAAGGAAGAATGTCAAAGAAGATCAAACTATTTTTGTAACAGCTTTATAACATTTTATATTCTTTCCTTTGAATTTTATAGAGAAAAAAAATTGTCACTTTTATATTCGTATCCTTTTGTATTTCAAGACAGAATCAAAAACAAATCATTAATGTAAGTTATTTTATTTCATGATTTTTCAGGAGAAGAAAATGAGGAAAAATCCAACAGCAAGCAGGACCGGAAGGAACCCAAGGATGTAGCCAACCAGGAGACAGAGTCACATGACTTCTTTGGTGCCTCCTTAGTAAAGGCGGCATTGAACCGGGCGTCACGCTACCAACAACTTGTCGACACGGATGAGGAAAGTGAAGAGCGTAAAGTCTCCAAACCTGTACAGATAGAGAGCCAGACTAAACCCCCCAAAGAACAGGCAGAGTCAAGTTCCTCATACGCAGAAGACGACCATCCAGGAGTACATGTAAACAAACGTGTAGTAGACTTCAGTTACAAGGAGTTAGAGGACGAGTATGGGAGTCGCCCTGTTCCTGCCGCATCTGCAAATAAACCGCGTGAGGGACACAAGGTGGCAGCGCAAGAGTTTAACAATCGGCGGCCTGTAGGGCATGAAGTACCACCAGGTACGGATCATGGAAGCATAAATGCATCAGACAGGATTGTTGGTCATGAGTATGGTGTAAGGCCACTTCTGGATGATGATGAGTTAGAGGATGCATATGGAATGCAACATCACTGTGGTAACTCGGAGACAGGGTATTCACATGATCATGATGACAGTACCCCCAGTAGTAACAGCACTGTGTCCCCAAACATGTTGGGTAGTCCTTCCATGTCCCCATCAATAGAGAGAGGTAAATCTGATCCATTTGCATCTGCACCATTTAGGAAGAAGCAGACCAGAAAAAAACGCCCATCTAGTGCTGTAATGCCAGCTAAACCGCCAGGAAACTCAGATATATTTGCAAAGGCACCGTTCAAACCAAAGTTCATGACAAAGTCTAAAACTCACCAGTCTATAGGAAGCCCACTACTGCAGGGTGACATGGACAAAACTGAGGAGAGTGTAGGAAGCGAGACTAGCAATGGCGATATATTTGGCAAGGCTCCCTTCAAAATAGCTCCTGCAACTAAACCTAAACCATTGATGCATGAATTGTCTCCCCCTTGTGAGCCAGTGTCAACTGTAGGCCAGACCTCTGAACAGGTCAAACAAACTGTGATAGTATCAACTCCCTCCGTTATACCACCCAACTCCAGACAGTTCTACTCCATGTCAACCACCACCTCCCACATGGCAGGTGTACAAGCATCCATACAACAACCCCCAAAGGAACACTTCTCCGCCCCTGATCCCTTTGGGGCTGTACCATTTGGTCACATGAGTATGAATAAAAAGGCTGATGATTTTGTGCAGACAGGTAATGTGAAAAAATCTCAGTCATTTGGTTATAACCCAAGGAACATGGTATCTAGACAGACACAGGATGTGAGGCAAACGTCTGGTGTTAGTGATGTTGGTTACAAAACCCTCAGTAATGAGGAAATTAGATTTCCAGATTCCATCTCCCCACAGCACCAACAAGCTGAAGACTTTTTATTGAGTAGAGAGAGCGATGATGATGAGTCAGAGGAGGATGATGAGGAGGAAAACCTCAGTTCCAGTTTCCAGCATTCCAGGGGGCGCACCAAGCCTGCACGGCGGAGCCCGCGTGATACGGTTTCTACGTCAGGGTTCGCAAATATGAGTTTTAATGATGATGATGAAGGAGGGGACCCTGACGGGGTTCACGCTCAGGGATTCATGGGGCAGGACTTGAATAAATGTATTGGCCATAATTTACATGTGTCAAGCATTCGCCATCCTGCATACACCAAGGAATCTAACTCGCAGGTAGCAAATGCTTCAACAGAAGCAATGAAGGTTAGCTCTGGTGGTTACGACACCTTCACATGGCCGAGGAAACAACGGAAGATTCCCACAATCAGTATGGCTACTAATGAACCGTTTAGTTCTAAAAAGAAAGTAGATTTGGTGTCAAAGTGATGACAACAAAGATAGACTTGGTGTCAATGTAATGATTTGCTTGTGATTTTGGTGAATTTGGTGATTTTTTTTTATCTATAATATACCAGAAAAACTAATAAAATTCCGTTAAAGTTTGTTTTGTTTACATAGACTTACAGTAGATACTTTTGTAGTTTTTGCTTAGAGTTGTGCTGTTGAGGTAATAAATTTAATGATGCAAGATTGTACATTTATACATTTTCTAGATCTCCTGTATATTTGATATAGTTTCTAGATCCCCCTGTACATTTGATATAGTTTCTAGATATCCTGTACATTTGATGTAGTTTCTTGATCCCCCTGTGCATTTGATATAGTTTCTAGATCTCCTATATATTTGATATAGTTTTTACATCTCCTGTATATTTGATGTAGTTTCTTGATCCCCTGTGCATTTGATTTAGTTTCTAGATCTCCTATACTTTGCCCGGTGCTTTCTTTGTCCCTAATGACCTCCTCTTCACTATTTATACAACATAGGTTCCTTTTTAGGTCTTATATCGATCAGCAATACAACAACCATCCACAGAGAGTGCATCAAACGGACACGGAGAACTCTAACACCAAACAACTTGTTCTTTTATCGATGTTAAGATTATGTGTTATAACAAAAATGTTTTCCTATCTTATACTCTGTATGAATGTTTATTTTATTTTGTAGATACATAAAATATCTTTGAACTTTATTCAATATACTAAATGTGTATCCCTGTCCCACACAGGTGGGCCGTACTGTTTTTGTGCTCTATCTGGTTTCGAGGGATGGGGTTAGGGGGAGGGGATCTTGCCTGCATTTTCTGATTTGTTAGAATTTACAGTCTGTGTAATCTTAAAATGGTGTGGAGAAGTCATAAAGCAATGACATAGGCCTAGAAATTGAACTACATTTTTATGAATCTGATATTTTGGCTGTACGTGGGTGCGTTTGATATAGCTTTCAAAGCCGTTCTGTTTTAGTATACTTTTACTTATGAAATATAAGGTCTTTCAGTGAAAATAAGTATGTATTTTCGTTTCGTGACAAACTCACTTTGTGTTAATTATCACACCGACCAGAGGGCAGAATTTAGTACTAAAAATAACAAACTATAGGCGTTGTCGTTTATGACATCTCAATAACACTGGCATATTGTGTGACATCACTTACGCTTTCCTTGTCCTAACATTGTTGTTGGTGGACAGTCTTTTTATGAAGCTTATGACTTAATGAAGAAAACTGTTTTAAACAGAATAGTAATGGTGTAATAGGGACCAATACAATGACTTTGTCTTTAAATACAATATCTTAATCACCACATTTTCTGATATTTTTGGATGATAATGTGTAGTACACTCTTATTATAGAAATGAAATGACTAGTTATGTAAATCAATTCTATTAAATAATTGAAAGGTCTTATCTGCAAACATTTTCATTTACTGCTACCGTAGATAACTTAATTTATGAGCATGTTTTAATTTTTCATTTGTATCATGCAAATATTTTTTGTAAATGTTTGCATAAAAATACATCTGGCAAAGACCAAACAATTTTTTTGAAGGGTGGAGGGGGTGGGGGGACAAGGCCAGTCCATTAGGTTTTGGTATTTTAAACCTCTGTGCACCCTGTACCACTCAGCAATAAGAATTAAAAAGAGTCATATCAAGACCCCTAATACTGTAACTCCATTCTTAAAATCACTATTATGTACTGCATTCCCCAGTCCGAGTTATATTATCGGAACGATTGTTTTATCATAATTCTGGTAGATATCAGGTACCAAGTCTGGCTGTAGAGAGTTGAACTCGTCGATGGCTTGAATTACTGACAAATCTATCTATATTAATAGGTGATGTGCATTTCAAAGCAGTACATGTTGATACCTCCTGTTACCTAGGATGACACAGCAGCACATGTTGATACCCCCTGTTACCTAGGAGGACACAGCAGTACATGTTGATACCTCCTGTTACCTAGGCTGACAAAGCAGTACATGTTGATACCTAATGTCACCTAGGAAGACAAAGCAGTACATGTTGAGAACCCCTGTTACCTAGGATGACACAGCAGTACATCTATTATCGGAACGATTCTTTTATCATAATTCTGGTAGATATCAGGTACCAAGTCTGGCTGTAGAGAGTTGAACTCGTCGATGGCTTGAATTACTGACTAATCTATCTATATTAATAGGTCATGTGCATTTCAAAGCAGTACATGTTGATACCTCCTGTACCTAGGATGACACCCCCTGTCCTAGGATGACAAAGCAGTACATGTTGATGCCCCCTGTTACCTAGGATGACAAAGCAATACATGTTGATACCCCCTGTTACCTAGGAGGACACAGCAGTACATGTTGATACCTCCTGTTACCAAGGATGACAAAGCAGTACATGTTGATAGCACCTGTTACCTAGGATGACAAAGCAGTACATGTTTATACCCCCTGTTACCTAGGATGACAAAACAGAACATGTTGATACCCCCTGTTACCTAGGATTTCAAAGCAGTACATGTTGATACCTCCTGAACCTAGGATGACACCCCCTGTTACCTTGTATAACACATATTTCAAAAATCAGATTTACCTTTCATGACTATTTTTATGCAAAGTCTTACCCCTTTTCTCGCTGCATCAGCCTTTCCCAGCTCTGTCTGCTGTGACAAAGCAGTACATGTTGATTCCCCCTGTTACCTAGGATGACAAAGCAGCACATGTTGATACCCCCTGTTACCTAGGAGGACACAGCAGTACATGTTGATACCTCCTGTTACCAAGGATGACAAAGCAGTACATGTTGATACACCCTGTTACCTAGGATGACAAAGCAGTACATGTTTATACCCCCTGTTACCTAGGATGACAAATCAGTACATGTTGATACCCCCTGTTACCCAGGATGACAAAGCAGTACATGTTGATACCTCCTGTACCTAGGATGACACCCCCTGTTACCTTGGATAACACATATTTCAAAAATCAGATTTGCCTTTCATGACTATTTTTATGCAAAGTCTTACACCTTTTCTCGCTGCATCAGCCTTTACCAGCTCTGTCTGCTGTGACAAATCAGTACATGTTGATACCCCCTGTTACCCAGGATGACAAAGCAGTACATGTTGATACGCCCTGTTACCTAGGATGACACAGCAGCACATGTTGATACCCCCTGGCTTGAATTACTGACAAATCTATCTATATTAATAGGTGATGTGCATTTCAAAGCAGTACATGTTGATACCTCCTGTTACCTAGGCTGACAAAGCAGTACATGTTGATACCACCTGTTACCTAGGATGACAAAGCAGTACATGTTGATTCCCCCTGTTACCTAGGATGACAAAGCAATACATGTTGATACCCCCTGTTACCTAGTATGACAAAGCAGTACATGTTGATACCCCCTGGTACCTAGGATGACAAAGCAGCACATGTTGATACCTCCTGTTACCTAGGCTGACAAAGCAGTACATGTTGATACCTAATGTCACCTAGGAAGACAAAGCAGTACATGTTGAGAACCCCTGTTACCTAGGATGACACAGCAGCACATGTTGATACCCCCTGTTACCTAGGATTTCAAAGCAGTACATGTTGATACCTCCTGTTACCAAGGATGACAAAGCAGTACATGTTGATACGCCCTGTTACCTAGGATGACACAGCAGCACATGTTGATACCCCCTGTTACCTAGGAGGACACAGCAGTACATGTTGATACCTCCTGTTTCCTAGGATGACACAGCAGTACATGTTGATGCCCCCTGTTTCCGAGGATGACAAAGCAGTACATGTTGATACGCCCTGTTACCTAGGATGACACAGCAGCACATGTTGATACCCCCTGGCTTGAATTACTGACAAATCTATCTATATTAATAGGTCATGTGCATTTCAAAGCAGTACATGTTGATACCTCCTGAACCTAGGATGACACCCCCTGTTACCTTGTATAACACATATTTCAAAAATCAGATTTACCTTTCATGACTATTTTTATGCAAAGTCTTACCCCTTTTCTCGCTGCATCAGCCTTTACCAGCTCTGTCTGCTGTCTTCTAGGATGACAGAGCATTACATGTTGATACCCCCTGTTACCTAGTATGACAAAGCAGTACATGTTGATACCCCCTGGTACCTAGGATGACAAAGCAGTACATGTTGATAGCACCTGTTACCTAGGATGACAAAGCAGTATATGTTGATACCTCATGTTACCTAGGATGACAAAGCAGTACATGTTGATAGCACCTGTTACCTAGGATGACAAAGCAGTACATGTTTATACCCCCTGTTACCTAGGATGACAAAGCAGCACATGTTGATACCTCCTGTTACCTAGGATCACACAGCAGCACATGTTGATACCCCCTGTTACCTAGGATGTCAAAGCAGTACATGTTGATACCCCCTGGTACCTAGGATGACAAAGCAGTACATGTTGATACCCCCTGTTACCTAGGATGGCAAAGCAGTACATGTTGATACCTCCTGTACCTAGGATGACACCCCCTGTTACCTTGGATAACACATATTTCAAAAATCATATTTACCTTTCATGACTATTTTTATGCAAAGTCTTACACCTTTTCTCGCTGCATCTGCCTTTACCAGCTCTGTCTGCTGTCTTTATCGACATACCAAGGGAGACAACCCTAGTGTCTTGCCAAATGTTTAGAAATGTGCCATTATTTGCCATGTAGTGTCTGCTGTGTAGCTTTATAATCAGTATAAATAACATGTACGTTTTCTTTGAATTTCTATCATTTTAACTCGGAATAGAAAAATAATTTCATAACTTTGATGATGTTTCATAATAAATAGTTGTTTTTGTGAGCATTTTACATGCAACACAAAAATAATGACAATCTAGATGTCATTTCCCAGTCTAACTTACACTGTGTTGATATCTGTCTTCCCAATGTAAGCTCTATAGGTATCTGTGTAGTCCATCTCATGTAAGAAACACATATTTGTACATCTTATATACCTCAAGGATGCTCCTGTAGTGTAAATATTTCCAACCAACTTTGTTTTCATACCAAAATCTTAATGGATTGCAATTGTTTACATTTGTCTGTTAACTGTTGCTGACCCAGAACTAGATTAAGCCTGTGTTTACTAGACACTGCTATCCCATGACTGTAGTCTGGCCCAACTGATAACAGGGGTAAATTAAAACTGATTCGGATCCCTAGTGACGCCTTAGGGGGGAGGGGGGATGTTTGGGGGCAACATGCCCGAGAAGCTGGACAGTTCTAAACGTGACAGGGCCAGAACAGATCAGTCCAAACTATATCTCAAGGCTACCATTCAAGATCCTCACTCTGTTCTCAGAGTTTGGTGAAATAATATATCTCTGTGTTTGTTTTCTAGTCCCCAAGTTTCTGTACAATAACATGGTTCTCACAGGGTATTAAAGTTGCTGTAATATTGAAGTCAGTGCCTGAAAAGTACAGGTAAATAGAGGAATCCTGGACAAGTGCTTGATTGTTAATTCCTTAAAAATACTGACAGTATAATATATAACAAATTATGACTTTCAAAGTTTTTTTGTTAATATTGATTTACAATTAAAAATTGATTGATAAATTCTTTTTGATCCGATGTGATTCATTTTAGTTTTGTGCTATATAACAATATCCTATACATTATGAATAGTAAATCTTCATAAAAAAATATGAAAACCTGGATCTGGAAAGTGTTTGAAGAAAAGAAAAAGTGCTGGAAAATAGCTCAAGAATATTTTCCTGAAAAGCTTCTATGAATCATGTATATTTATTTTTGCTTTTCAATGCTTCAATACAGGAGATGTCTTATTGGAGAGATGTTTTGTGTACAGTACACGTGGTGATGTACAGTTTGTCCTGACTTTTACTGATTGTGTAGTTTGTCCCAAAAGTGTTTAATACTTAAATATGTAAACATACCATACAGAAAATAGTGCTCAGCGACATCATTGGTGTAAACCTATGCTGGCGTGAACTGTATATGTTTCCTTTGGAATATGTTTTGTGTAAATCTACATTTCCAGGAATTAACCAAACATGTTAGCTTATTGAAAAGTCAACAGTATATATATGTATATTTTAAGTATTAAAGCAAATCCAATCATTTCTTAAGATTGTAGAAGTGACAATTTGGCCTATTGGTACAGTACTTTAGATTTGGCCTGGAACTACAGTACTATAGATTCGGCCTAGTGGTACAGTACTATACATTTGGCCTAGTGGACTGGTACACTACTATAGATTTGGCCTAGTGGACGGGTACAGTACTATAGATTTGGATTAGTGGACTGGTACAGTGCTTTAAAATTGACCTAGTGGTATAGTACTATACATTTGGTCTGGAACTACAGTACTATAGATTCTGCCTAGTGGTACAGTACTATGGACTTGGCCTAGTGGACTGGTACAGTTCTACAGATTTGGCCTAGTGGTACAGTCCTATAGATTTGGCCTAGTGGGACAGTACTATAGATTTGGCCTAGTGGTACAGTACTATAGATTTGGCCTGGAACTACAGTACTATAGATTTTGCCTAGTGGACTGGTACAGTACTATAGATTTGGCCTAGTGGACTGGTACAGTACTATAGATTTGGCCTAGTGGTACAGTACTATAGATTGGGTCTAATAGACTTGTACACTGCTATAGACTTGGCCTAGTGGCACAATGCTATAGACTTGGCCTAGTGGTACAGTACTATAGATTTGGCCTAGTGAACTGGTACAGTACTATAGATTTGGCCTAGTAGACTGGTACACTACTATAGACTTGGCCTAGTGGCACAGTGCTATAGACTTGGCCTAGTGGTACAGGACTATAGATTTGGCCTAGTGAACTGGTACAGTACTATAGATTTGGCCTGGAACTACAGTACTATAGATTCGGCCTAGTGGTACAGTACTATACATTTGGCCTGGAACTACAGTACTATAGATTTTGCCTAGTTGTATAGTACTATACATTTGGCATGGAACTACAGTACTATAGATTTGGTCTGGAACTACAGTACTATAGATTTGTCCTAGTGGACTGGTACAGTACTATAGATTTGGCCTGGAAATACAGTACTATAGATTTGGCCTAGTTGTATAGTACTATACATTTGGCCTGGAACTACAGTACTATAGATTTGGATTAGTGGACTGGTACAGTGCTTTAAAATTGACCTAGTGGTATAGTACTATAGATTTGGCCTGGAACTACAGTACTATAGATTTGGCCTAGTGGACTGGTATAGTGCTATAGATTTGGCCTAGTGGTACAGTACTATAGATTGGGTCTAATAGACTGGTACACTGCTATAGACTTGGCCTAGTGGCACAATGCTATAAACTTGGCCTAGTGGTACAGTACTATAGATTTGGCCTAATGAACTGGTACAGTACTATAGATTTGGCCTAGTAGACTGGTACACTACTATAGACTTGGCCTAGTGGCACAGTGCTATAGACTTGGCCTAGTGGTACAGTACTATAGATTTGGCCTAGAACTACAGTACTATAGGTTTGGCCTAGTGAACTGGTACAGTACTATAGATTTGGCCTAGTGGTACAGTCCTATAGATTTGGCCTGGAACTACAGTACTATAGGTTTGGCCTAGTGGACTGGTACAGTACTATAGATTTGGCCTAGTGGTACAGTCCTATAGATTTGGCCTGGAACTACAGTACTATAGATTTGGCCTAGTGGACTGGTACACTACTATTGATTTGGCCTAGTGGTACAGTACTATGGACTTGGCCTAGTGGACTGGTACAGTGCTACAGATTTGGCCTAGTGGTACAGAACTATAGATTTGGCCTAGTGGTACAGTACTACAGATTTGGCCTAGTGGACTGGTACAGAATTATAGATTACTTACAAGTTACTTTTTCCACTTCACCTTTCTGTACTCTTTGGTGAGTACAATTCTTCATTTTTGGTAGGAATTATTGACCAGAAAGTACTTGAGTTTTCAATAGACACTAAATGGAATAAGATATCATCCCTTGTTAAGTAATCTACAGTACTCTTCCTTCTACAAATAACATCATGCTGGGCCTCCTTGATCATACCCTAAATACTGTTTCATCAACAAGTTACATTTGGACCCTATCATAAACTAGGTACTGTGTTATTTACAAGTGACAGTTTGGCTTGATCAAAAACAAGGTACCATGTCATAAGATGAAACTTTAGTATTGTTCTGTATTCTATTGATGATAAAATTCCTCCAGGGTCTTTTATGAAATATTTGTTTAGGCATAATTTTATAGCTTACAGTAAGCAGCATTATTAATCATACTTGTATTGTTCAATATTGTTAGCCAGTCAGAGACAGTTTACCTTAAAACTTTGTGTGTCATCCTTGACCTGCTCAATGTGAACCTATTAGTATCAATCATGTCAGATCTAGTCAACTGATCATTCAGCTGACTTTCACTGACTTTTTATTTTTATGTTTTCTTTATTTGTCATTCTACAAAATGTATTACATATTTTGCGCCATTTTGATTTTCCAATTTCTCACATTCCGTTTGTTCGACATTATTTTTCTTAACAAATTAGTTTGTAATTGTGATCAGAGAAAGTGAGTGAGGAGAGTTTCAGTGTGATAGAGTGACCAGCCATGCTAACAAACTATGCCAGACAGTGCTGTGTCACTAAATGGTGTTGTCATGGTTACCGTACTATCCCAGACTTATACCAGCACTGGTAACAGATGGGTGTAGTAGGTTTGTATGCACTACTTAACTGTTGAATGAATCCCCATATCTCCAAACTTTCTTAAAATTTTACCTGAAAAGGATCAAATGCAGTTGTTAGATGTTTCCCTTACTGTGGTATCAGGTTGTATTTGTGAGACATTTGTTCTGTGAGTTGTTAGATGTTTCCCTTACTGTGGAATCAGGTTGTATTTGTGAGACATCTGTTCTGTGGGTTGTTAGATGTTTCCCTTACTGTGGTATCAGGTGTATTTGTGAGACATCTGTTCTGTGGGTTGTTAGATGTTTCCCTTACTGTGGTATCAGGTGTATTTGTGAGACATCTGTTCTGTGGGTTGTTAGATGTTTCCCTTACTGTGGTATCAGGCTGTATTTGTGAGACATCTGTTCTGTGAGTTGTTAGACGTTTCCCTTACTGTGGTATCAGGTTGTATTTGTGAGACATTTGTTCTGTGAGTTGTTAGATGTTTCCCTTACTGTGGTGTCAGGTTGTATTTGTGAGACATCTGTTCTGTGAGTTGTTAGACGTTTCCCTTACTGTGGTATCAGGTTGTATTTGTGAGACATCAGTTCTGTGAGTTGTTAGATGTTTCCCTTACTGTGGAATCAGGTTGTATTTGTGAGACATCTGTTCTGTGAGCTGTTAGATGTTTCCCTTACTGTGGTATCAGGTTGTTTTTGTGAGACATCTGTTCTGTGAGTTGTTAGATGTTTCCTTTACTGTGGTATCAGGTTGTATTTGTGAGACATTTGTTCTGTGAGTTGTTAGATGTTTCCCTTACTGTGGTGTCAGGTTGTATTTGTGAGACATCTGTTCTGTGAGCTGTTAGATGTTTCCCTTACTGTGGTATCAGGTTGTATTGTGAGACATCTGTTCTGTGAGTTGTTAGATGGTTCCCTTACTGTGGTATCAGGTTGTATTTGTGAGACATCTGTTCTGCGAGTTGTTAGATGTTTCCCTTACTGTGGTATCAGGCTGTATTTGTGAGACATCTGTTCTGTGAGTTGTTAGATGGTTCCCTTACTGTGGTATCAGGTTGTATTTGTGAGACATCTGTTCTGCGAGTTGTTAGATGTTTCCCTTACTGTGGTATCAGGCTGTATTTGTGAGACATCTGTTCTGTGAGTTGTTAGATGGTTCCCTTACTGTGGTATCAGGTTGTATTTGTGAGACATTTGTTCTGTGAGTTGTTAGATGTTTCCCTTACTGTGGTATCAGGTTGTATTTGTGAGACATCTGTTCTGTGAGTTGTATATGGCTGTGATTTTAATAAATATCCGCGATGAAATTTCTCAAACATCTATTCCAGAATTTATTAATTCAAATTCAAAGGAATACATCATGTAGGCAATCTCTATCAACTAAGGTTTGTATATATATATAGACAAGGCTGTCAATGGTATCTATATAGACAATGGTATCTATAGAGACACAGCCATCAATGGTTTCTATATGGACAAGGCTGTCAATGGTATCTATATAGACAAGGTAGACAATGGTTTCTATATGAACAAAGCCATGATATTGAATTTGAATTTAAAATTCGCGTTATATTTAAGGCCACTGTTGTGTCTGTCAAATTATTATGAAATACATGTAATGTATTCAAATTGAAGGAGATTCAGTTTGCTTACTGAATGACCACTTTTGTTGACCAGAAATATTTTGAACTTTTGGTATAAGAGTAATGGAGCTAAATACCAAGTCTAATCAAGATATCATACAGCCAGATTGTTGGGGGAAATGTACACTTACATGATGAATTTTGGCATATATCAATTTATGTTATTAATGTTATTTTTTCATCAATAAAGGAATAGATTGCTATAGATGCTACTTAACAAATTTCATCTCTGATTTGATTAATTAGCACAGTGTAAAAATTAAGAAAAACATGTTATCAATGCTTGCATTCCCGTGAATTTGTGTCGCCTAGTCCAAATTTCTCGACATTTTATAGATTTCTTAGTGCGTAACTATTTTTAAAACTATTTTTAAAAGGGGGCTCATGTCAGCCAGCATATACTCTGAATTTCAATGAAGTGAAATAAGTAGGCTAGCCTATACTCATTAATTTCAATAAAGGTACCGCTATAGTCATAAGAAGAAAGACGTGTGTTTTATGCTGAAGGTCTATTTACTAAGGTCAATCGAAATAATGAGTGCGTTGGGGTCCAGACTGTCGATTTTCATTGTTGAATGTGAAGAGCGGTTTATTTATATGTGGATGACTGTGATGACTGTTAAGTTTGGGGTGTTTGTAGTCCACCTTCGTCTAGCTAAGTTATAGAAGTGTAATGGTCTGCATATTATGCACCAACAAGGTTGGCACTAGTGGTTGTATGTAAATACTTGTTTAACTGTACAAAATGTCTTTAGTGGGTACACAGCTAGTGTACTTGTATGACATTTCATGTCTTGAAACAGTAATAATGAACTGATGATCAATAAAAATCAACTGCAAAATACCAAAATGTTGTTATGATTTGCTAGGAAGACCTGCTTTTTTGCAATCCATCATCGATTGGGCCATTCAAATCCTTATCCTTGTTTAAGTTTTTCCTTCTCAAATATTAAGAATAATATTGTCAGCAAATGGTTAGAAAACATTAAAGAAGTTAATATATCTTCATTTCCAATGGTTTTGAATAATTAGTACAAACTGTTGTCTGATGTCCACCAAACAGCCTAGAGAAGTGTATCACTAAGGACCAGTCTTGATAAACCATTAGATTTGACACACAACCATCTGTGCTCCGATTTCGACACTTTTAAATAACCAGAACATTTTGAAAAGTTTTGAAATTGTATTTATTTGCAAATTGGTCATAAATAAATAAATAAAAAATGACTATATTGTCATTAAATTTGAGATGAAGTTGGTAAAAACTTGATGTTATAAACAAGTACGTTTCTGTGTAAATAATGTATAAACCATTGATACTTGTGTGTAGGTCAGGTTGGTAGAAATGATCTCTGTATATTATATGATAAAAAGACTAGATGACAAACACTAAAACAGGAATAACAATATGGAGCTACACAAAATGCAGATTACCATGCCCTTTACAAGTATAGATACAGCATCAATAAACATCCTAAAACCCTATAGGGCCCCATCAAGTATTTATCATAAACCTGAACCATTTACATAGAAATTCCTATGGGGTAACAATTAAACAATAAACCACTGTACTTTGTTATATTTATACGGCTTGGTATACATTGACGAGAGTACAATAGGGGAGGAACATTATTTACTGTACAATGCCATACGCAGATTTTGTTCAACATCGATTGTAATCTTTGTATAGTATAAATATTGACAAAATTCTCCAAATGAGGGGCCCTAATTATGGGAATTCAATTTGTATCACAGTACATGATTATGTTTATGGAAATTCAATTTGTAGTACAATATGTATGTTAAAAAAACAAAATGCATGAACAAGGAACCCTCATGAGGTAAAAATCTACAATAGACTAGCAAATGATGCTAAAATCTTCATTGGAAAAGGTTTTGTTGTTACCAGTACACTTGCTAACTCAAGATACTGATAAAAGTTTAAATTCAATTTAAATATGTACATCTAAACAGCTGAACCATAAAAAACAGTACTAATAAATAAACTTGTAATCAGTATCAGTCAGTCTATGTACAAATACTAGTTACATTACAAACCTTGACAAAGCATAAGACTGGTCATATGATAAAACCATTTTTTAAGCATAACAGATAAGTCTGTTATCCTGATGAGATCAGACTGAAAATCCTTTTGGAACATTTATATCTAGTTTTAATATGAAATGTGCAAGTGAACAGTAATTGTGTCAGATGAGTATCATGTTTGTTGGGATCTGTAAAAATTGTACCAAGTAGGAATGTATTGTCATTTACATCACAGGTCAATACATAATATACACATGTAAGCATCTCTGGTTTACACTGCTACATCTTTATTTGAAATACAGGGAAAAAGTTGGTAGAAGTAGAACTGACATATATTCCCCGATTTAGATCCTGGTTGGGGGGGGGGGGAATATTTGTTCACATTCAGGAATCAAATATTGTATAGCAGGAATGTCTATTTATAGCAATATTAAAATTAATTTGTCACCTAGCAACCCAAAAGGGAATAGAGATGTTCCTCTTCCGAAGGGGCAATATCCATCTTAGTTTGGTTTAAATCCAATTGATTAAAATACCAATTGGAAATTAATATTTTCACAAAATTTCAATATATTAACAATTACTTCTACAGGGATCTTCTAAACATTAGACAGACATCAGACTTGTAAGTTTAGATCAGCTGTATTGTTCAAATGCTAGCATCCTGAAACCAACATTTTCCTTTAATTTCTCTTTTTATAGCTACTATGGCCTTGACATTTGACTTAGTAACCCAAAATCAATAGGCTTATCCCCCTCATCTGGGGCAACATTCACTCAAAATCCTCTTACATAGAATCAATGGTTAGTGTTATAATTTCAGTCTAGACGTACTTTGACCAATTACCATAAACTCAATAGGAATCTCCCTCTTCTCAATGGGAACATCTATTCAGGTTTGGTTTAAGTTAAATTTCTCATTCAAGGGACTAGTACCCCCCTACTTTTGGGCATATAGTTCACCTAAATATGGTGTACATATCATTATTTTAAATTAAAACCATTTGTTATGGACAGACATTTTTTTCAGGGCAGCATATTGGTAATAAGACTAGCTTCATAATCTAGGTAATTTAATAGTGGAAGGTTAAGTTAAGGACATCAGCATCATGTACTACTGTTTTTTAGAGTTACAGTAGTTAAGGATCCTGGATTTCTATATAAAGTGATTACATGTATTATGCCCCACACTTGATCTAACTAGAAAGGATGCCTATATAAATCTCTTATTATACCTGATCTATGCTAGCTAGTGTTTACAATAATTGGCACCACAGACAAATAGGGGGAAAAAATCATGTAAAGTCATCAACATATTTTGACAGATACCGTAAGTTTAAGTACAAAGTAATACTTTGACATGTACATAATATAACACCAAATAGTGATATTCTAGACATAACTTGATACACTTGATATAATGCACTGTCTATCAACAAATATTAAAAATGTCAACTTCATTCTTAAAAACACGTAAGTCGTGTAACAAAATATCATGCAATACCTGATCTCACATATTACTTAAATGTAATAATTAGACAAACAAAAACCTCGCACAACATCGTTACTTGTATTGGGTACATTTAACTTTATATTGGATAGATTCAAGACCTATTAAGAAAACTATTGAATGAAATGATACAACAATTTATCTGGTCCTTTAGTGACATGGGTGGTTGATACGGTACAGCAGTATATCATATCCGGCATAGTGCCAAAAGGTGAAGGCGGCAACCACTATCACATGCCACCACTGGTGACTTGAGCCAACAAAGTCAAACAGACCTGGAATGGAAAAAACATTGCAATCACTAACTACATCCTTGGAAAACTGAAGTATGGAAGTCCAGAAATTACAATGCCTTTTAGAAGTAAGAAGTTCATTGCCACAATACTTTATGCAAGGGTGTTTTTTTCAAAATAAACCAGTGGTTACAAACCAGCCCTAAGATATGGGTCAAGGCTTATAGCATGATAATGTTTGCCTCTTCATGCTAAGCTTTTGTATATACAATTTTGAGGTATGGGGTATAGTTCAAAGCAATATGGTCAAATTACTCTTTTTAGATGCCCTTCAACCCCCCCCCCCTCTGAGATTTGTAAACATCCATACAATATGATGTTAGTCTTAGCTGCTGTCTGAGATTTGTAAACAGCCATACAATATGATGTTGGTTTTAGCTGCTGTCTGAGATTTGTAAACAGCCATACAATATGATGTTGGTTTTATCTGCTGTCTGTCTATAGCAAGTCCTTTTTAATACATTGCCACTGCTTTGTTTTAAAGCAAATATCAAGGTTCCTACAACCTGAATACTTACCAGGAACAAACCGCTCTGGAAACTTGGTCAGATAAAATACCAATGCCATCACACCAAGACTATACATTATTACAACCTTTGGCACAAATAACTGAAATAGTAAAATGGAAATGGTTAATTACAGGATAGAACTTGCAAAGCTTATAACTTTCCTTAAGGTAAAAGATCCACTTATAACAGAACTGTACTTCTGTTCAACAAGACCTATTAACATTTCAGGATATGTATATTAGTCAACCTGGCCTTCACTTAACAAAGAACTGTATACTTGTAAACCAAACCTGCTTTTCTGATAAGTAATACCGGTGTGGGATCCAAAAAGTGAGTTATATAACACCAGACATTTACACAAACGATAGACACAAAATGTAAATGTTCAGATATCTATGTATTGTAAAACATGGGATAACTGTTCTGATCTCTATATCCATGCATTGTTAAACATGAATTAGTGCTTCAATCTCTCTATACTGTAAAGCAATAGATTAGCGTTCCAATCTCTGTACTATTAAACAACAGATTGGTGTTCCAATCTCTGTACTATTAAACAACAAATTGGTGTTCCAATCTCTGTACTATTAAACAACAGATTGGTGTTTCAAACTCTGTACTATTAAACAACAGATTGGTGTTCCAATCTCTATAGTATTCATCAACAGATTGGTGTTCCAGTATTAACTCTTTCCGTACCCGATACCGGTCGGGATTCCGTACCGGACGTCCTAACTAGACTCACCCCTGCACATATAACAAAATGACGGATTATCAATGTGTTTTTAGAGGAGGTGTAACTTCTGCAAGAAATAAAAGGAAACCGTTAACCAATGGTGCTATTGTCTCATGTCGTTGTTCATATACATACACGTTTTTATTTTCACAGCATTCTGACTGTCAGCTAATTATGACAGAGAAATCGTCATTTGTCCGCCTACGAACGATATGATTCATTGTATTCAAAACAGCGTTGTAGTGTGGGTACCAAATAGGGATTGATTTTGGTCACCAAGTCATAAAGTTTTTCTAAATACAAGTAGAGTTTGCCATGACTTATGAAGGTTACACAACGAGTGGTTGTTGAATATGGTAATTATTTCACTGGAGTTAGTTAATTTTCAAAAGTTACAAAAGACACAAGCTTGTTAATTTTCAAAAGTTACAAAAGATACGAGCTTTAGCGAGTGTCTTTCTGTAACTTTTGAAAATTAACTAACGAGTATTTCCTGATTTGAATAGCATACACATATTTTGTTGACAAGGCTGGCGTAGTGATATGACCAACATGTAAAAAGTCACTCATTAATATTCAAAAATGACTTTTTTTACAAATTTATTAATTTTCAAAATTAATGTTTTGGCAACAACTTTGTGAAAAAATAAAATAGATGAATGACTTTAATAATTGACAGTATGTAATAATGCATTAATTAATATAAATTAACCACGGACTATATGCGCGTAAGCATATAGTACGAAATCTGCCTCCCGCCAAGTGATGATGACGAACTTATTCGCTGTCAATGTCCAAAACCATATGCCTGGGACGTTTCTTCGTGAGATTCTATGGCTGATGTTTATAGTGAGAGTTCCGCCATAGACAGACCCTCCAAATATTAAAAACTGGTCATGGGGAGAACAAAATGTTTTCCAACGCTGTTATAGATCTTGTTTGAGTTTCACAGAGACATATGTATTACATCTCTGGGTTTCACGACCTGGACACGTGACGGTATGGTGTCGAAACGATATCGAGCGTCTGTATCAATTTTACCTGAAACTAGCGATCAAATCTTTAAACATCATCTGCTTTTGGTATTGCCTTGATAACCCCCATTTCCCATCGCATAACCTCACAAAAGTCACCAACATTTGCTGGATGTTGACAACAGACGACATAAAACAGCACGCGGCAAAAAGCATGTGAAAGAATTCGTCCGGTCAAGGTTCATTTTCTCGACCAATCAAAACTACGGAAGGTCATATACCACGTGTGGTGTATAACTCATATTTATTCAACGGTCTGCATGTTTATACAATGATCAGCATCTGAGAGTGGAATAACACAGCGCATTCAGTCGCCGCCATATTGTTTATATTTGCGACCACAAAACGCAATATCTTGCAGCAAATTCAAAAACAATAGGCCACATGATAAAAAATGTGTACTCTGCACCTATAAAAATCTTTCTTGCCAACAAATGTGTGCTGATATTAGTAGAGTAAGACAATTAATTTAATTACACAACTGTCGTGTGCTATGACGAGTTTAGCAGTTTAGCAGAAGACGGGTAACACAAAGTCTGTAGTCATGTATACACAACAACAGGGATGTACACGACAACGGTACGGAAAGAGTTAAACAACAGGTTAGAGTTCCAATCTCTGTACTATTAAACAACAGATTAGTGTTCCAATCTCTGTACTATTAAACAACAGATTAGTGTTCCAATCTCTGTACTATTAAACAACAGGTTAGTGTTCCAATCTCTGTACTATTAAACAACAGATTAGAGTTCCAATCGCTGTACTATTAAACAACAGGTTAGAGTTTCAATCTCTGTACTATTAAACAACAGATTGGTGTTCCAATCTCTGTACTATTAAACAACAGGTTAGAGTTTCAATCTCTGTACTATTGAACAACAGATTGATTTTGTTTTTACCTGTACTATATCAGATGATATGCCACCATTTAAGTATATCCAATGAAGGGTAGGGATAACTCCATAGGCTACAAGTCCAACATACACCATTAAACGTGTGTTTACCCACTCATTGGAGAAGTATCTGGGGTTCTGCATTATCACGAAGGTTGATATAGACAGGCAGGTTATGATAAATAAATAGATGTCACGCCAAATCTGGAGAAAAAAAAACACAATGTAATACATTATAAACTTGCATACTTTTTACATATGTTTTTTCCATCACTAACACTTGAACGATATAACTAGCAGCACAATTGATTACTGGGATAATGTTAATAAAACTAGAACTCATTAAAGCTAACAAGCAATGTTTAGAACCACTGACACAATGTATGAATAATACACAGAGGACCAATGGGCCTGTACCCTTCACCTATTTGTTGGGTTATCTACACTAGACAAGAGGACTAATGGGCCAGTATCCTTAACCTATTTGTTGTGTTATATACAGTAGACAAGGGGTCCAATGGGCCTGTATCCTTCCCCTACAGTATTTGTTGTGTTATCGACCCTAGGCAAAATGTAAGAGGACTAACGAGCCTGTATCCTTCACAGATTTCTTGCGTTATCTACACTTGGCAAAAGGACCAAAGGGCCTGTATCCTTCACCTGTTTGTTGTGTTATCTACACTAGGCAAGAGGACAAGTGGACCTGTATCCTTCACCTATTTGTTGTGTTACCTACACTAGACAAGAGGACCAATGTGCCTGTACCCTTCACCTATTTTTTGTGTTATCTACACTAGACAAGAGAACCAATGGGCCTGTGCCCTTCTCCTATTTGTTGTGTTATATACAGTAGACAAGGGGTCCAATGGGCCTGTATCCTTCAGCTACAGCATTTGTTGTGTTATCGACCCTAGGCAAAATGTAAGAGAACTAACGAGCCTGTATCCTTCACATATCTACACTAGGCAAGAGGACCAATGGGCCTGTACCCTTCACCTATTTTTTGTGTTATCTACACTAGACAGGAGGACCAATGGGCCAGTATCCTTAACCTATTTGTTGTGTTATATACAGTAGACAAGGGGTCCAATGGGCCTGTATCCTTCCCCTACAGTATTTGTTGTGTTATCGACCCTAGGCAAAATGTAAGGGGACTAACGAGCCTGTATCCTTCACATATTTCTTGCGTTATCTACACTAGGCAAAAGGACCAAAGGGCCTGTATCCTTCACCTGTTTGTTGTGTTATCTACACTAGGCAAGAGGACAAGTGGGCCTGTATCCTTCACCTATTTGTTGTGTTATCTACACTAGATAAGAGGACCAATGAGCCTGTATCCTTCACCTATTTGTTGTGTTATCTACACTAGACAAGAGGACTAATGGGCCAGTATCCTTAACCTATTTGTTGTGTTATATACAGTAGACAAGGGGTCCAATGGGCCTGTATCCTTCACCTACAGTATTTGTTGTGTTATCGGCACTAGGCAAAATGTAAGAGGACTAACGAGCCTGTATCCTTCACATATTTCTTGCGTTATCTACACTAGGCAAAAGAACCAATGGGCCTGTATCCTTCACCTGTTTGTTGTGTTATCTACATTAGGCAAGAGGACAAATGGGCCTGTATCCTTCACCTATTAGTTGTGTTATCTACACTAGACAAGAGGACCAATGAGCCTGTATCCTTCACCTATTTGTTGTGTTATCTACACTAGACAAGAGGACTAATGGGCCAGTATCCTTAACCTATTTGTTGTGTTATATACAGTAGACAAGGGGTCCAATGGGCCTGTATCCTTCACCTACAGCATTTGTTGTGTTATCGACCCTAGGCAAAATGTAAGAGGACTAACGAGCCTGTATCCTTCACATATCTACACTAGGCAAGAGGACCAATGGGCCTGTATCCTTCACCTGTTTGTTGTGTTATCTACACTAGGCAAGAGGACCAATGGGCATGTACCCTTCACCTACAGTATTTGTTGTGTTATCGACCCTAGGCAAAATGCAAGAGGACTAATGAGTCAATATCCTTCACCTATTTCTTGTGTTTTCTACACTAGACAAGAGGACTTATGGGCAGGTATTCTTCACCTATGTCCTGTGTGACCTACACAAGAAAAGAGGAGTACTTTTATACCAGTGTGTAATACAACTTACAGACAGACAGTAAAATGCATAATGGACAGCAGGGAGGTAGCAGCCAATGACTCCTATAGAGATCCCTGTCAGATCTATGGCCAGCCATCTCTTACTTGCTCTTTCTGAATGGCATGCAAACATGTGGAAACCCGTGGAACACAGCATACAAAACTATTGGGGGAAAAGATCACAGAAAAACAAATTCACATAATCATATATTAAATATATATATTTTTAAGCTATAAACTGTATATTTCCTTCACAACTAGTTTATAAACTTTCTGAAACAGATGTAATGTTCGGATGCTATAACCTAAACATAAATGTAAACCTAGTTATCAATCTAATGATACAACGAAATGGTATATTTGGAAATCAAGAAATAAATTGAAATTTGAAAATGATGTTGTTGTAAATAATCAATACACTGTAAACAATATAAAAAAAAATATGAACATTTCAATATTAAAAAGTTCAAATAAGTATTCCTATATCTGGGAGTCATTAAAGAATGTGTTTGATTCTTAATGAGTACAAAAAATGCATATAAACACTGGTTTATAGATACAAAACCTCAGTGAAAACAAATGTGTATCATGTTTTATATAATGTATTAATTTCTGGGTGAACATTTTACCAAAACTCCTATGTAAATGGTGTCTAAAAAACAAATATCTGCAACTATTTGACAAGAATGAAAGATGAATGAAAGAATGAAGCCATATTAGTATTAAATCTGAATTGATTGAAAATGATACTGTGCATCCAGTTGGGGTGTTTCACGTTCTGCCATATACATTAACTATGATGTGAAAGACTTTACAAAAGTGGGTGGATACAGGCAGATGAGATTCCTCCACTGGGTTACATGGTTTTGGAAATTTTGAAATTTTGATAAAAATCACACGTTTTCTCATAGCAAATATAAGGAGTGAAAGAATAGAAAAAATGCCTCTTGAGAGGGCCTGTTTTGTACAAGGAGGGAATCCAGGGCTCCTCAACCCTGGCCCACCTTATAAATGTGCTGAGGAGATAAAAAGTCATTATATTAAACAAGAGGCCCAATGGGCCTGCATCGCTCACCTGGTATAAATCTCACACTTGTAACCTTAAAAGTGATCTAAAATAAAGCTACAGGCAAAATATCAGAATTTATGATTAAAATTCATTCAAAAGTCCCATTTTTGTTTTTTTAAACATTTCACCCCTGTGATTGAAAGTCGA